TGCTTTTAATGTCCGTTCTGCAATGGTAGTAACAATAACGCCTCATTCCAGAGTTGATGTGCTTTTGATTTGCCAAGCTTATTGGTCCATTTCTTCATTGTTGTTTGCAAACTTTTAAGAATGCTCTTGAGTGACTTTGCAGGCTCTTCTTAACTATTACCAGAACATGGATACAGAGTTTAAACAGAAGATTTGCCCTTTTGTCCTAAAACATTTCTTTGACTAGTTTCAGAGGACCTTTTACCTCATCTCCATAAAGTAATACAAAAGGACTGAAACCAATAGACATATTAGGTGAATTCCAAGTAGCGAACAAAAGGAATTCCAATCATTTTTCCTAATAATGAGGTACTCATAATGGCATGCCCTGATTGCTGGATTTGAGTGTTTGATGGTACCTTCCTGAACCTCCTTGGGTAGAATCTTATAGCATGTGAACAATATGGACTATGGCAAGATGTGTGGTAGAATTGGATAAGAAGTCTGGCGAGCCCTTCTAGACATCAGGAGCATCTCACACCATCTTTTATACTTTTCACAAGTAGCCTGGATTCTTGCTAGACAGCAGTGAGTTGCCAACTGACAGTAACCATTCCTTGCTGAACATCTTGTTGATGGCAGAACTCACCTCACAAGCTTGATATCAGGAAAACTTGACACGGAAACCAGGAAGGATGCCTGGTGGATACAGCTTGCCAACTAATCGAAGCAACCTTCATGTTGTTTATGACTAACCTGCAGCTCAGGGCACAATCCAGGGGCACCAGGTATATGCACATCTTGTCCATGGGCATTGAAATTTGGCATCAGGCAATTCCTCACTACCATAACACAGTGTGGAGCTGGAGGAACACAGCAGGCCAGGCAGCATCAGAAGAGCAGGAAAGTTGACGTTTCGGGCTGTGACCCTTCTTCAGAAATGGAGGAGGGGAAGAGGTCTCTGAAATAAATAGAACGGGGGGGGCAGTGATAGCAGGTAGATTGTGGAGCGGATAGGGTGGGAGAGAAGACGGACAGGTCAAGGTGGTGGCGATGAAGCTAGTAAAGGTGAGTGTAGGTATGTAGGGGTGGGGATTGGTCAATGAGGTGGGAGGAGCGGATACCATCATGGTGCCTCTTCAATACTCTTGGGAGGTCACTGAGGGAGCACAGATTTGCATTGTTCCCTCTATGCTGCAAATTCCAAAATTCCTCTGCGTTTCCATGCATGCTAACTATGTGACAATGCATCAACTTCCAATTTAGGAAGTTGCTGCCTTATATGGACTTCTGATGTCTGTGCAATGAAAAAACAATGAGAGGCAGTATTTCTCACCAGCAATTGGAATGGAAAGGTTGTAACAGGGACACTTTGTAAACAGGCACAGGCACCTTATTCAAGGATTGCAGCAGGCTGCATCTTAAGGATGCTTACTTGCTCTCTTAGCACTTCTCACTTAGTGCTTTTCTGTATGCTAACAGCATCCATGCCTTGCCTTTTTACTCTTTTTAGCATGTCAGAACTTCAGACAGACCCAAAGCTACCACTACTGCCGTTTTAGTGCAGACACAGACAGCTGTTTGTCATGATGATCAGTCAGGATCTGTCCTGAGGCAAGGGGTAACATCTTGATGAATATTATACCAAGATGTGAATTTGACAGCTAGTGTGCTAGTTGCCTGCAGAGCAAACTCACTGCACATTCATTCAATCAAATGTATTTCGGAAACCAGCAGGGGCTAGTCCTTCATACAGACAAATGGGTTGTGTGTGGGGGGGTGGTGTTGCTGGCACTGTTGGTCAGAGGATCCTAGTATTGTCAATCATGGACTTGGTTTGCACACAGTTCAGGGGCTTCAACACTGTCAGTTGTTTGCTTGGATTGGTCAGGTGATTATCCCAGTATAGTCCAGGGAGTAGTCAGTCCTGTAGGGCAAGCACAAGCAGTCAGGGGAATCGCATATCTTCAGTCAGACCTGCAAATACAGTGGCCTGTCATATCTAGGAGCCATTTGTCAAAGTCAGTCAATTGTAGATGCAGCGAGTGGATCACTGCCAGCAGGGTTGGGAGGAGACGAGGCAAGGGGGTGAAAGCTGAGCCATTCTTACATGCAAGGATAAAGGCAATGATGGAGAAAATTCAAGGGAGTAGGTATATGTGGAACAGCATTGGAGGGAAAGGCAGGGTTATTGACAATGACCACTACTGTAACCTTCACAGAAGCATAGAGGACATTGGGGAGCTAAGGGAGCATGTAGGACAGTTGTAGGTGATATTCAATTAGTGGGTCTCCACATTTGGGGAATGGGGTGAACTGGTTTGTTGGGGTAGTACAAAGTAACAGGGAACATGGTGGCGTTAGGGCAGTTACCTGGTGACCATATGGTAATTAGTGCTGATGGTGTCCACTACAAGCTGTGTTCCCTGCCATGACTGTCCCTTCTGTAGCTGTGAAGTAGTATTAGAAAATGGCCACAACAATGCCCAGGGTGGGTGGAGTAAATGTCAATTTGATAGCCATATCTGAAATCCATGTTTGCTGGATGCTTGGACATTATAGCAACAAATACATGAAGTAGCCATTTTGCAATGTTCATCCACATTAAATTAGCAATCATTTGCTAAGCATTCGGATTGAAGGTGCTTGGGGGTCAAATGCTGGTCAAAGGTGATTTGCCACATGCACTGGTGCTTGCAAATTAAATTTGGGCATTGGGAAGTGAGCAGCAATGATGCCAATAAGGGCCAGTGCTGGCTAAAGGGGAATCACAATTTGCCCAATTTCCAACAGTCCTGTGTGAGCCTGTGCAACATTGCATCCTCATTTATCATGGAAGTGTTATAAATGACTGTACTGAATGCAATGTGAAGCTGAGCATTTCATGGGGGTCTAAGGTTGCTAGGGTGTTGGTGTATTGCAGACAATCCCTTCATGATCACAGCGGGTGATCATTCCACCAACTTGCTTCACATACTGGGCCTGAATACGGATATATACGCAGGAATATCCATGCAGCATGTCTCACTGTTGAAGTGTGCTCAGTCCTCAGGGAGTGCCGACCACATATTCTGAGGTGAAAGAAAATCCTTCACTATTTTGGTCCCTCTCACCAAAAGTGATGGACACTACCACTGGTGGCTGCCTACCTAATGTGCAAATAAATGCTGGCTGATGGCAAGCCCAGGAGCAGCAATGGAGCAGCATGGAGGACAAGGAGCACCCAGCACCAGAATTGGCCTGCAGGGTCCCTCAGGGTGTGTGAAATATGGAGCCCATAGCTTTCCAGCCCCCACTCAATTTCCTGGGGATGAGTGATCTGCTGACACAGGCTCCAAGTGTCCACGAACACTGTGATAAAACTGTGCAGGATGCTGCAGCAAAACCTGAGAGCCTCCATTCTCTCCCAGGGGCTATGAAAGTCATTGCTGCGCTGAAATTTTATGCTACAGGTTCCTTCCAGGGAATGATGGATGATCTGTGTAGGGTATCTCAATCATGAACCCTCAAATGCATTAGGACAGTGACCAATGCCAACTGTGCTGCAGCCCGGGTGGTAGGATTTGGGAACATAGCTGGGATTTCTGAAGGGTCCCAACCTGAAACATCAGCTTTCCTGCTCCTCTAATGCTGCCTGACCTGCTGTGTTCCTCCAGCTCCACATTGTGTTAATTCTGACTCCAGCATCAGCAATTCTTACTATCTCTGACATTCCCCCAAGTGCAGGTAGCAATCAACTGCACACACATGGTTCTGAAAGGGCCATATCACAAAGCTGCAGAATTCATCAACAAGAAGCGGTTGCATTCAAATAATATTCACGTGATCTGTGATCACTGTTCCCACTTCCTAAAGGTGTCTATCTGCTAACCCTGACAGTTGCCATGGCACCTACATCCTCGGGTACTCTCATGTACCCGGTACGTTTGAGGATCAAGGTGCCTTAAAGGCTGGTTACTGGGGACACCCTGGCACACAGTCCAACTGATGCAGAGTGCAGATAGAATGCCACCCATGCATCAACCATGGCTGTGCTGGAGTAGAGCATAGGGCTGCTGAAGATAGTAAGAATTGCTGATGCTGGAGTCAGAGATAACACAGTGTGGAGCTGGAGGAACACAGCAGGCCAGGCAGCATCAGAGAAGCAGGAAAACTGATGTTTCGGTTCAGAACACTTCTTCAGAAATGGGAGAGGGGAAGGGAACTCTGAAATAAATAAAGTGGTGGGGTGGGGGTGGGGAAGGTAGGTGGGATGGTGATAGGTGAGTGCAGGTAGGCAGTGGTGGGGATTGGTCAGTGAGATGGGAGAAGTGAATAGGTGGGAGAGAAGACATACAGGGGCAGTGGTGAGATTGGATGACATGTCCATCCTGGGCCTCCTCCAGTGTCACAACGACGCCACCCGGAAACTGGAGGAGCAGCACCTCTTTTCCCCCTTGGGAACCTACAAGCCAATGGTCTCAATGTGGACTTTAATAGTTTCAAAATCTCCCCACTCCTGACCTCATCCCATGACCAACCCTCCCCACTGAAAATGCTGTTTCAATTCTTGGACTTGTGCGGTGAGGCCTTAAATCAATGTACACAGACTGAGTCAGTTCTTATAAGCAAGATGGTGGTGGTATCAGTGGTAACTACAAGCCTGCGCATGAAGATAGTGCCCCAGCAAAAAGCTCAGCTGGCAACAAGCGCAGGCGCAATAGTCCCGGCCCGCCGCCACGGGCTGGCGCGAAGGCGCAGTTGGCCTTGGTTGTCCGTTACGCGTTGCCCGCCTGCCCGCTTCTGACTAGAGCGCAGGCGCAGTTGGCGTTGGCTATCCGTCGTGCTTTTCCCGCCCGCCTCCGGCTGGAGCGCAGGCGCAGTTGCCCTCGAGTGTTCGTCGTGCTTTTCCCGCCCTCCGCCGGCTGGAGCGCAGGCGCAGAGGGCTTTGGGTGTCCGTCGTGCTTTGCCGCCCGCCCCACCTCCGGCTGGAGCGCAGGCGCAGTTGGCCTTGAGTGTCCGTCGTGCTTTTCCCGCCCGTCTCCGGCTGGAGCGCAGGCGCAGTTGGCTTTGGGTGTCCGTTGTGCTGCTTCTGACCGTCGATGGAGCCGTCCGTGCGAATCGCTGACTTCGCGGCGATGGAGAGGCACCGGGCCATTCTGCAGCAGTCCTTGCGAGTGGAGGCCGAGCTCGGTGATCCGAGCCATCAGCTGGTGCGGGCAGAGCCACTGGGCAGGTACATCTAGGGTTTCCCCGCACTGCTTCAAACGTTTTGGATGGCTCAAGAACCGGTATGGCGGTCCTCCTCCGTAATGAGCGGTTAGGGTTAGACTTTCGTCAGAGATAGGGTTAAGAACCGCATTTGTCCTTCTGAAAAGAAGACATTATTATTGATCTGCCGACTGTGCTGTGATGGCTCACCTTAACTTCAACAAACCAATTATTTTCAGTGGCTGAGTCCACTTAGACTTTCACGGCTTTCAGATCTTTTGCTGCTTGTCTGTCCTATTGATGTCTTAAATTCTATGTTTGATCTGGTGTCAAAATGCCTCACAATAATGAACGACTTTAGCCCTTATCTAGACTGGATGAATAGACTTAGCAAAGATAACCTGTAGGATAAATTCATATAGGTTATTTAGGATTCTTTCCAAGATCAATGCATTCAGCAACCAAACAGGCTATTTTAAAGTTCTGAGGAAGGGACACTCAACCCAAAACGTTAACTCTGATTTGTTTCCACAGATGCTGCCAGACCTGCTGAACTTTCCCAGCAATTTCTGTTTGTGTTAGACTATTTTAAATCTGTGTAATATTTAATGAAGCAAAACTAATTAAAAACCTTGTGAAAAATCCTTGTTAAGGGTGATCATGTGATAAAATTTCATGTTGAGTTTGAGGATGAGTAATGTGGTTTAGAAACACATCTTAAACTAAAAGCCATTTACAAAGTTATGAACGCAGAGTTGGCTAAAGTAGACTGGGAAAATAGGTTGAGGTAGAATGGCAGAGAAGGAATGGCCAACTAAAAATGCTTCACATCCCTCCAAAAAAATATACTGTTACAATTCAGAGTCATATAAGCTTATCATCTTTCCTTTTGTGCAAAATTAAGGAGATCAAAAGACCTGTAATGAAATCTGCCTGACAGCCGATTTGTTTGTTAGGGATCAGTGTGGAAACACATTGTTTTACAGGCAAGTAGGACCAAGGTACAGTACTTACAATGAAAATGCACAAACCTGTCAGTTTACAGTGGATGCAGTGAATTTCCAAAGTCCCAGAAGACTGTTGAGAATGTCAGGTTGGAAACAGTAGTGCTTACACAGTCACAGTCAAAGAGCCATACAGCATGGAAACAGACCCTTCAGTCCCATTCACCCATTCCGACCAAGTTTCCCAAACTAAACTAGTTCCATTTGTCTGCGTTTGGCCCATATCCTTCTAAATCTTTCCTATTCCTGTATCTGTCTAAATGTCTTTTAAATGTTGTAACTGTACCTGCATCTACCACTTCTGACAGTTCATTCCATATATGAACCACCCTCTGTGGAAAAAAGTTGCCCCTCAGGTCTCTTCTAAACATTTCTCACCTTAAAATTATGCCTTCTGGTTTACAACTCCCCAACCCAAGGGAAAAGACCCTTTCTATTCATCTTGCCTATGCCCCTCATGATTTTATAAACCTCTATAATGTCACTCTTCAACCTCTTAAACTCCGGTGAAGAAAGTCCCATCCTATCCCATCCAGCCTTTCCTTATAACTCAAACCTTTCAGTCCTGGTAAAATCCTTGTACCTCCTTCCTGCACCCTCTCCAATTTAATAATATTCTTCCTGTAGCAAGGCAACCAAAACTGTACACAATAGTGGCCTCACCGAGTCCTACACAATGTTGAAAATCTGAAACAAAAACAGAAATTGCTGGAGAAACTCAACAGGTCTGGCAGCATCTGTGGGGAGATGTTCTGTTCCATATAGTAAACGTACAAATTAATGTCACTTTTCTTCCAGCTCTGATGTTCTTAAAAAGATTGAAAATGTTATCAAAGAAACACTCACATATCTTGCGAAGGGAGAAGCCCCAGTTATTGCTTTTGATAAACGATCATCCTGGGAAAATATTTGGTATGTTTTTATTATAGTTATTCAATGTTCCAAATATTAAATATACATATGAAAAATGAAATGACCTGTGAACCTGATAGAAGTGAACCAATTCAGTTTCTAATCAAACCTGCAATCTCTAAATACTTAAGCAGTTTTAATCAATGTGCCCTTTTGCTTTTACAGTAAACATGCTCTGAGCTAATTACTTTGTCTTTCTTTAAAAATGTAATCCTAAGTAAAATGAAATTTGTAGAATACAATGAGAACAGCATTACTACAGCATGATTATACAGTTGCTATCCAGCATTCAATAAGTAAAAGGGTGGTGGTTAAACGTGAGTCTTTGGCAGGGAAGGGTTATGTGGATGGGTCAGCCCCATTATGGTCAACAAAGAGTAATTGAAGGAAGGTGGTGTGACCGACAGTGTTGTGAGCTACGGATAAGTGAACAAAGGGAGGGAGATAACATGCACCATTGTCACAGATTCTCGTTTGTGATTTTGCTACAGTAGGAGATTCAGACAGATTTGCGAGACATGTGGAGGTCATAGTAAGGCTGGGTATAAATCTAGTAGATGACAACGCGCCAAAGGAAGTTGAGATGAAAGGAATGTTCAAGATGAAGTGGTAGAGTTGGTGTTGGGGACAATAGGGCACCTTGTCACTGGCAGTTTTGAAAAAAAGAGAAACAATGCTGACACAGGTACCGTTTAGAGTATTTGATTGCATGGAACTCAAGAAGAAAGGTTGAGTGATCAAATGGCTCAAGGGATTTGGATATGTGACTAATAGACATAATGAATTCAGAGGAGGCATAGTGAAAGACAGAAGCATGTTTCAGGGTTTGATGTAGTACATTGGTGAGCCTTCACATGTTCAAATTCTGACTTTAATGTCATCCACTGTGAGACATTGATTGAACTTTAAGGACGCATGTGACAAGTAAACATTGGGATTGGCAATGGCTGAAAAAATATGTGCAGGACGAGAGAAGGCTAATAAAAACACCTAATGTGGATGTGTTTTGCATTTTGGCAGGTTTGATGGCAATGTTGGTTTGCAAATGCTATCTGATTCTGCTATGAGCAAAGTAAAATGCGAATGCTCCAGATCAATCCACAGGTTTGGTAAGTAATTATCGCAGCAATTACTGCTAACACAAATATAGAGAAATTGCTTGCAAGACTTGTGTGCATGTGCAATCGAATGGGGACCATCCTACCCTTCCCACCATAGTCATGCAAGTGTGCCTGGTGATTTACTTGAATCATTCTTCTTCCATGTGATGGACATTTAGAACTTTGTGGGGCTTGGGCAGAGGAGGAGGCTTGGAAACAAGATTGGGGAAGGGAAGATCAGAAATTGGAGGTGCATTTCTTTTATTCATACATGGAATAAGGGCATTGCTGGCTGGAGGAGCAAATATTGCCCATCCCTTAATTGCCCCTTGGCCTGAGTGGTGTGCGAGGGCCATTTTAGAGGCTGGTTAAATAAACCACATGGCTTTGGAATCATTAGTAGGCCAGACCAGGTAAGGATTACATATTTTCTGCTCTAAAGAATATTAATGAACCAATGGGTTTTCACAACAATGGTTATATGGTCCCCATTCAGCTAGCTTTGTTTAATTCAAATTTTACCATTTGCCATGGATCAGATTCCATGTCCCAGAATTAGTCTTGGATTCTGGATTACTAGTGCACTTAATGGTGGATGGTGCGGTAAAGTAGAAAGATTGAGGAAGACAATATAAATAAATGATCCAAATTTTGAAAATCGTGCAGGACCAATGAGGCCTCAGGATATATATAAATATATTTCTAAATGTGCCAGCAAAAATAAAGCAAGCTCTTAAAATGCCAAAAGGTTGCTTTATGAATTGAAGCATAGAGTATAAAAGTAAGAAAACTATGCTGAACCTTTATTCAGAAATAAATTAGGTTTCAGTTGGGTTCATTGACAACAATTTTGGAGGAGTGGAAACATATTAGAGAGAGTGCAAACTGAGGTTCCTCAACTTATACAGGAGGTATGGCACAGAAACAGGCCATTCAGTCCAACTCATCTTTGCTGGTATTCATGCTTCTCTCTAGCCTTCTCCCATCTTCACTTTGGAATAATTGTTAGAAATGAAAAGATAATTCTGTACTCCTATCAACATGCATTTCATTACATTTACAGTTATCTGTGAGACTCAAACATTTCAAAATCTTCTGGTCAGGATCCTATCTTCTCTCAATACACAAGTTCATCTAAAGTTGTGCTGCTCATATCCCAATTCGTAGGCTGTCCAATTGACCCATTAACTTTGTGCTCACTGTTCTCCACTGGCTCCTGATCCACCTTTCCTCAATCACAGTATTCTTCTAATGTTGAAATGCATGCTTACCAGGCTTCTTTCCATCTTAATTCAGGAGTATTAGTACTATGTTCTCTAAACTCTGCAATATATGTAATCTGAAAACTGTGGCTTGAGCAGGATGAAATTATATATTCATACAAACTGTTAAGGATGGAGTCCCAAAAATCCAATCTGATCTACTGTTGCACAAATAAACAAGGCTAACAAATACTACCTAAAATTTAAATGATCTAAAATTAATAAAATGAAACTACCTAAAATTAAAAACTACCATTTTCTGAAGAAGGGTCTCGGCCGGAAATGTCAGCCTTCCTGCTCCTCTGATGCTGCTTGGCCTGCTGTGTTCATCAAGCTCTACACCTTGTTATCTCAGATTCTCCAGCATCTGCAGTTCCTACTATCTTTCTACCTAAAATATAGATCATTAATCTTGAGGGATCATGCTAAGCACAGAATAGCTGCCATTTGCTTTTGTTACCATCAAATCCCATTAAAGACAAATTCTTTAACTATGTCCCCTCAACTGTTCCTCATGTTGCTCCTTGTCAACATCATCTATAGACACGTGGTTAAACCTCTGCACATGACATCATTCCAGATTCACCTTTCCTTCCCCGAACTCCTTTGCAATGTGTGGCTTTTTGTCTGTTGTTCAATCCTGAATGAACTAGTTTCCTCCAGAGCATACCATTACCTTTAACCCCTTCAATTAACTGTCTCGCTAACACTGAATCACTGTTCTCCAAGTCATTGTCTCAAGCCTGTTTACAAACTCAGCCTACTATTTAACTTCACATTGAGCTTATGAAGTTGACTGTTTTGCATCATAAATACCAACTGTTTAACCATTGTAATATCACCAAAGTACACTGTCTTAGCCCATCTGCTCCTGAATCCTCTAAACAAATCTTTGTCATTTCCAGACATGATTTGATTTGATTTGATTTATTATTGTCACATGTACCGACATACAGTGAAAAATATTGTTTTGCGTGCTAACCAGACAAATCATACTTCACGTGAGGCAGCACGGTGGCTCAGTGTTTGGCTCTGATGCCTCACAGTGCCAGGAACCTGGGTTCAATTCCAGCCTTGGGTGACTGTTTATGTGGAGTTTACACATTCTCCACATGTCTGAGTGGGTTTCCTCCAGGTGCTCCAGTTTCCTCCTACAGTCCAAAGATGTGCTGGTTAGGTGAATTGGCCATTCTAAATTGCCCATACTGTCCAAGGATGTGTAGGCCAGGTGGATTAGCCATGGGAAATGCAGGGTTACAGGGATAAGGAAGTGGGATGGGAATGGGTGGGATACTCTTCGGAGGGTCTGTGTGGACTTGATAGGCCGAATGGCCTGTTTCCATACTGTCAGGATTCCATGATCTATGATACATAAGTACATCAGCGTAATAGAACAGAATGCAGAATATAGCATACGGAGAAGGTGCAGAGAAAGAGCAGCTCTAATATATAAGAGGTCCATTCATAAATCTGATAACAGCGAGTAAGAAGCTGTACTTGAATCTGTTGGTAAGTGTTTTCAAACTTTTGTATCTTTTGCCCAAAAGAAGAGGGTGGAAGAGAGTATAACTGGGGTGGGAGGAGTCCTTGATTTTGTTGGCTGCAATCCTTAGGCAGTGGGAAATGTAGATGGACTCAATGGATGGAAGGCTGGTTTTTGTGATGGATTGGCCTGCGTTCACAACTCTATATTTTCTTGCATTCTTGGGCAGGGCAGTTGCCATACCAAGCTGTGATGCATCTGGATAGGATGCTATCTATGGCACATCTAATAAAATTGTTAAAAGTCATTGTGGACTTGCTAAATTTCCTTAGTCTTCTGAGGATGTGGAGGCATTGTGCTTTCTTGACTGTAGCATTGACATGGCTAGACCAGGAGAGATGGCTGGTGATTTTCACTCCGAGGAACTTGAAGCTCTCGACCAACTCCCCCTCAGCACCATTGACACAAACAGGAGTGTTTCCTTCACTCTGCTTCCTGAAGTCGATGACCAGCTCCTTCGTTTTGCTGACATTGAGGAAGAGATTGTTATCTGTACACCATACCATTAAGCTGTCAATCTCTTTCTTCTACTCTGTCTCATCTTTATTTGAGATCTGACCCACTTCGGTGGTGTCATCAGCAAATTTGTAAATTGAGTTAGAACTGAATTTGGCCACACAGTCATGAGTATATAAGCAGTATTGGAAGGGGCTGAGTGTGCAGCTTTGTGGGGCACCAGTGTTGAGGACTATTGTGGAAGAGGTGTTGTTACCTATCCTTACTGATTGCAGTCTGTGTATCAGGAAGTCGAAAATCCAGTTGCAGAGCGGGGAACAGAGCCCTAGGTCTCAGAGTTTGGAGATAATTTTTGTTGGAGTTATAGTGTTGAAGGCAAAGCTAAAGTCAATCAATAGGACTCTGACTTGGGTGTCCTTGTTATCCAGGTGTTCTAGAGATGAATGTAGGGCCAGGGAGATTTGTGACGGTCGGTGAATTGTCGTATGCCCAGCCAGGCTGGGAGGCTGGAGTTCATGTTTGTCATTACTAACCTCCTGAAACACTTCATATTGGTCAATGTCAGAGCTACTGGGTGATAGTCATTAAGGCACATTGCCTGATTTATCTTTGGCACCGGGATGATAGTGGCCTTCTTGAAACAGATGGAAACCTCACATCATAGTAAGGAGAGTTTAAGGATGTCTGCGAATAGTCCCACCAGCTGGTCTGCGCTGGATCTGAGTTCACGGCCAGTCGCTTTAATTTTTATTTGTTTCACTGCCTGTTCAATGCTGCAAACACTTCACCTTATCCAAACTTTCACAGCTCATATCACCTCCTGCATGAAGTGTTGCTCACCCAGTGTCATTGCCTCCATCATTTTAAATCTTGCATTCTCATGTGCATATGTTGTATTTGTATGTGTACATGGTTTTTTGGACTTGTCCCAACATGTACAATCCTGTACTGTTTCCTAACTCACCAATCTTCTTATTGTGAACTCTTGTGCATGTATCCTTTCTTTACTCTTAACAATAACGGCCCTTCTTTCAACTCTCCATATCTCCATCCCTCCTCCTCCTTTAACACCATTCTTCAAACCTATCTCCAAGCTTTCGGTCACTTAGAATTTGTCCTTCTTTGGTTTAATATCCATATGCTTGTGATAAGTTTGGGAAACGCTTTGGAATATCTTCAACGGTGCTTATGTATAAGTGTTTAATGTTGTTTATATGTGAATTATTGAGATATTTTAATGTTTCAAAAAAAACTGTAAAAGCTAATATAAGACTGCCAAATATCCTGCTCTTAAATCAGTGCTAGAAGCTATAAAGAACTAGTCTGATGTGCTTTCTCATGAATTATATAAGAGGCTTAGATTTGAGAATGATTGTTTGGCAGTTATGGCCTGTGTTTGGCCATTAGAAAATGCATGCAGAATGATAGTTTTCGGATGAAACAAGTTTCTGCCATTAATAACATTTTGCCTTGCAGCTCTAATACTTAAGACCCTGGCGATGATCTACAAGTTGGTGCAGAGCAATACTTATGCAACCAAAAGGTGACCATGTTCAGATGATATTTCAAAATAGATATAACATGGAAGTTAGCAAAAGCATATATGTAGTAGAATGTTGACTGTATTGTGTACTTGTCATCTTACTATATCAACTTGCAGTAAAAGATAAATAAAAGTTGGCAACCGGTTATCAGTGTAAATCAATAATCCCCTTCAGTGAAGTTGAAATTCTTTGTGCTAGCCACAATATATGTTCAAGCCAGAATGGTGTATGACTTGGAGCAGAGCTTTGTCAAGAACTGATTTGAGCAACTCCTGTTGAGTTTCTTCTGATTTCCACTAACTGCAGTTTTCCTAGGACTCCCTGATGCCATACTTGATCAAATGCTGCCTTGATGTCAAAAGCAATCATTCTCACCTCACCTGTGGAGTTCAGCTCTTTTGTCCATGTTTGGATCAAAGTAGTAGTGAAGTAGTAGTGAAGTCGTAGTGAAGTCATAGTGAAGTCCCTGGTAGAATCCAATCTGGGCATCCGTGAACAAATTATTTCTTTGTAAGTGCCACTTGGTTGCAGTGTTGGTGATACTTTCCATCACTTTGTTGATGATCAAGAGTACACTGAAAGCACGATAATTGACCAGGTTGTATTTGTCACGCATTTTCTGCACGGGACATACCTGGGCAATTTCCATATTTTTGTGTAGATGCCAGTGTTTTCATTTTACTATAACAGCTTGACTACTAGGTGTTGCTAGTTCTGGAGCACAAGTCTTCAAGCCTATTGCTGGAATATTGTCATGGTTCATAGTCTTTAGAGGAAGCAAAGTGAGGAACATAATAAAAATTAAGGAAGAGTTATCTGTAGTTCCAGCAGATGAGTTGAAACTTTAATACTTCTAGTCCATGAGTATTAAACAGAAAAAATAAGTCTCTTTGAGATAAGCTCAACTGGGTCTTGTTGGAAGTATAATATTAGATGTACTTCGAATTGCAACAATCTTTGTAAGCTGTATCGGGATGTATTGATTCCAGTACAAAAACTGCAATGGCTTGTGTTTTAGTAAAAGATCACGTTGTCGAGACAAATTGTGATCAATCCAGCCAGGTTCCTATTGGGAATCTGACACGTCTGGTACTTATCTAAACTGGACATTTCTTCATAACAATTGGAACGACTAGAATATAAACATAATGTGAGAGGTCCTGAGTTCAGGTCTTGAATGACATCCCCAAATATGATGTACAGTACACCCTGATGCAGCTTACAACGTTGTTGCCATTCTAAAACCATCTTGTGCTGTAGTTTAGTAAGGCCAAGACTAGCTCATTTCCCAGGAAGAAAGAGAGTGTTCCTGTTATACTTTGATGGGCTGAAAGTGATTGGAATTTCAACTCATCTGCTGAAATTGTAGATAACTTTCTTAAATATTATGCGCTTGACTTTCCTTTCAGTGCTCTCCTATCTCTGCTGCAACTTCAATACTTTTTTTTATAAACTTAAACCAGTTCTTTTTCACCAACAATATAACAATACACTGGTCAGAGATTAATAATAACCGCTTATTCTAAGACTATTTCATTAGTTTAAACCCCTTTTCTTAGGAATTTTGCTTAGCATATACTTCCTCATTGAAAGATTTCTCAACTGTTTGGAGCTTAATATGTGCTTTTCTCTCGAATGGCTCCCAGTACCAATTAAAGAAAATTAAAATCAAAGTCCAGAAAGTTTTCTCCTTATGCTGTTTGTGTAGTTCTCTATGAACTGGAGACAGTAATGACTGCAGATGCTGGAAGCTAGAGTCAATAAATGTGGAGCTGGAAAAGCACAGCTGGTCAGACAGCATCCGAAGAGCAGGAAAGTAAGCATTTTGGGGCGAAATTGGTCGCCCTGATGAAGGTTTTCAGTCCGAAACATTGAGTTTCCTGCTCTTTAGATGCTGTCTGACCGGCTGTGCTTTCCCAGCTCCACATTTATTGACTCTAGTTCCCTACAAACTCTGGGTAACATCCTCTCACTTGGAATTATGAGTATTTTAAGCGAATTGTTAACTCCTAAAATGCATAGACAACTCCCATGTTTAACTAGAAATCCGACAACCAAGCTTGCAGTAAATATGTCACACCAAAGTATCTTTTCTAAAATCTTCCCCACCACCAAGATGAAATTGATTGGCCTTAGTTTCAGGTTTAACCTTATACCCGTTTTTGAACAAGTTCAGAAAGTTTGAAATTCTCCTCTCTTCCAGCACCACCATGATGAACCTGAAAGCATTTCTTTGGTAAAGCAGCTTATTATACCAGTTGTGCATAATCATCCAGTATTATTATCATTCTGGTTTGTTTTGTTTCAGAGACCTGTACTACAATGACACACAGTTGTTTGGATCACAAACAATTCTTGATGGTATTATCAATGATATAAGCTGCATGTTAAAAGTCCCACGCAGGTCTCTTCACATAGTAAGTACTTAGCGCATCAACTTCTACCCCTTTAAAACGTAATAATTTAAGCTTGAAACATAAAGAAAACTTGGATATATCTCCAAAAAAACTCTTGTGTCAGGGCAATCAAGGCATCTGTAACAATTCACCTGAAAATTTCTATAATTGCTTACTGATTTGGACCAAACCAGACACCCTCAAATTATTTCAAGAAGACCCTAACTTTTTCTCATTTTGATGGTAGATGTGAAGTGCCATATTCCAAATGCAATGTGACTGGTCAAACTACTCGATGTTAAGCAAAACACTGCATATGCAGTTCTTTCAGTTTTTATTACCATTTATTTAAACACTATAGTTAAATACAAACAAAAGAAGGAGGAATTTAGAATAATTTAACTATTGAAAACTTAACCAATAGATGCAATACCTATTACTAATTAACTGTTCCAACATAGTAATATCCCATAAACACACCCCTTGGCAAAAAGGCAAATTCAGACACAGATTTTCACATAAAGTTCTCCAATCCAGAAGGAAAAGACATTGAGAAAACTCAGAGAAAGTAGCAGCTTGGAGACATTCACTAAAGCTTCCAACTCTTTTGAGACACCAAAGGCTTCTGCTTAAAACTAAACCTAAAAACTATAAAAAAAACTCGAAAGCCTGGTCTATGAGAGCTGGCCAACCCGGGCCGCTTCCACTGTTCCAACTTTTAAAAAAAAAAGTGGTTTCACAAATTGTTTACTTTCTTAAAGACAGTTCAGTACGTCTGCCTTACAACCTTTCTTCAAAATAGGACAAAATAACCTCTTAAAGTGAGAGCATTGTCACATTTACTGGCTGTCAAAGAACGCATCTAGATTATGGAATTGTTACTGCTTGAAACATTTACCAGCGTAAATTTGAAACTTGTGAAATAACTAAAAATGGAGAAAAAAGAGCCCATTAGGGATTTTCCATTTGAGTGCTGTATGTGAGATTTTCTACATAAGCTGGCCACTTTCCTCCAAATAGTATCTATATTTTGTCGATGCAAGAATAGTTAAAAGTTTCACCTCAGTATGTTATGTGTGGGAAATTGGAGAATGTAGCACAGTCACTTACTTTTCTTTTACACATATGGATCTCTGTCTATAAGTGCAGTCATTAAGCAAGCATAATGTAACAGTATTCAAGGGGGACCATGATTACAAATATACCCCAGAACTGTATTAAAACTGAAATTACTAAAACAAAAAGTGGTAAATGTGCACTAGACAAAACTGAATTCTTATTAGTTGTTGTCTGTCTCGTGAGGCAATGATTTATGCCATGATGGTCAACTTTATGTTAAACATCACCTGCTGAGTCACAAGTCTATTTTGGCTTGGTAATCTCTGCCATACTTACTGCTGAGGAAGGCAGTGGGCTGAGAGTGTGTGGGATCACTGATCTCAGTTTTCTCTGTGTTCTCAGCCACCTGAGCTTTTCATTCCTGCTCACCTCTTCCAAAGCCAAATTGTCAGCCTCCAGAGTTCACAGGCACTGATGATGGTCTCCCAGTTGTCTGTGCCAGTGTCTGTCATCTTCACATGTTGTTTACTAGTGTAAACAACATGTCCTGGAATTTTATTTGTTGTTGTGCAGACCTCCAATGTTAGTGCATAGCAGCAGCTTCTGAAAGCAGAAGCCATTTATTGGCACGCCATTTGACATGCTTGGAGCTTCCCAGTGGAAATAAGAGGGAATGTTGCTTGTAATAGAGGTCATTTGACCCAATGGCCAACTCGTCAGAGAGAAGATTTTTTAAATAAATGGCTGGACAAAATCGACCTTTGACATTCAATAGCATTGGCATCACTGAATCATCTGTGATCAACATCCTGGGGCTGCCATTGACCAGAAACTGAACTGGACTGCCCATACAAATATTGAGTCTACAAGAGGATGTCAGAGACTAGGAATCCTCCAGGAAATAACTCTCCTACTGAATCCTCAAAATCTGTCCAGCATCCACAAGGGGACATAAGTAAGCTTGCAGATGACGTGAAGATTGGTCAGGTGGTTCACAGATGGTTCACAATGAGGAAGAAAGTCTTTGGTTACAGGAGGATATAAACAGATTAGTCAGATTGGCAGATCAGTGTCAGATGAAATTTAATTCTGATAAGTTTGAGATGATGCTCTTTGGGAGAAGTAACAAGACAAGGGAGTACTCAATAAATGGCATTCTAGGAAGGTCTGAGGAACAGAGGGACTGCTTGTCCACAAATCCCTGAAGATGGCAAGACAGGTTAATAGGGTAGTTAAGAATGGATATGGGACCCTTGCTTTTAGCACTCAAGGCATAAATTATAAGAACAAGGAGGTTATACTGGAGCTGTACAGGTCTTTGGTTAGGCCACAGTTGGAGTACTGTGTACAATTCTGGTCACTGCACTGTCTGAAGGATGTAATTGCACTTGACGGGGTGCAGAGGAGATTCATCGAGATGTAGCCTGGAATGGAGCATTTCAGCTATGAAGAGAGGCTGGATAAACTTTGTTCGTTTACTTTGGAGCAGAGATGGTTGAGGGAGACCTGATAAGAGTTGTATAAGATTATAAGGACATGGCTAGGGTGAATGGAAAGCAGCTGTCCCCCTTTAGTTGAAGGTTTAATAACAAAGCATAATTTTAAGTTGAAAGGAAGGAAGTTCAAAGGGGTTTGAGGAAAATATTTTCACACAGTGTGTGGTGGGAGTCTGGAATATACTGCCTGGAAGAGTAGTTGAGGTAGGAAACCTCACAACCTTTAACATGGCCACTTAATTGGCACCACATCCATAAACATTCACTTCCTCCACTGCCAATGCTCAGAAACAGTAGCATGTGCAATATGCAAAATGCACCACAGGTATTTATCATAGTTTCTTATACAGCACATTCCAAATTCCAATCACATCCTCCTAAAAGGACAAGGGCAGCAAATACATGGGAACACCACCCTCTGCAAGTTTCCCTCCAAGCTACTCACCATCCTGATTGGAAACATATTGTTGTTCCTTCATTGGCTCTGGGTCAAAATCATGGAACTCCCTTTGTAATGACATTGTAGGTATATCTCCAGCACGTGAACTGCAGCAGTTCGAGAAGGCAGCTCACCAGCACCTTATCAAGGGCAGCAAGGGTTGGGCGAATATGCTGGTCCAGCTAGTAATGCCCACATCTCATGAATGAACAGAAGAAAAGGCATCTTGAATCATTAGGATACGGTGATGCAAAAATATACTCCAGAGCAGTATTGCTTATTGATGGCTTTTTGACTCATATTATTGGATCATGGAAGTGGGAATTTCTCTCATTTAAAAGGGTTTTATGATTAATGCAGATTATTTTGTGATAGTCACATTGTTATTTGTAGGACCTTCATGTATATATTGGTTATCACGTTATCTGCCACGCATCACTATTCTTCAAAAGTATTTCGTTGACTGTGAAGTGCTTTGGGACAGTCTGAAATCATAAAAGATGCTGTATAAATGTAAGAATTTATTTCAGAAAAGTGAGGTTTTTTTTGTTTTATTATAGCTCTCTACTTTGAAAGGCTGCATTGCAGGCGATCTATGCTATACAGAGGAAGATGGCAACAGAGTGAATTGTGCCTGCAATTCAACTGTATGTACTAAGTTTATTTAAGATTGTTCCAAATTACTGAAGATTGTATGAAAAAAAGTAAAACAAGGTACAGAAATCAACAAATAAGGATGTAACCATGTAAAAGTGATGGACAGCAAGGAACTGCTATCTATCCATTCTGCCTCCAAAGCTGTAATATCGGATTGTGCAAATACCTCCCATAAAAAGATCTAAGCATTATGTAGGCCAAATACACAGTGGCTAAGTGTGCTTTTATTGGGACAGTTCCTGTGCTGCAAAAGTGTCCAGTGCAGCAAAATTGTTTTAATGACTGTAAGACATAGGAGCAGAAATTAGGTCATTCAGCCCATCAAGTCTGCTCCGCCGTTGAATCATGGCTGATAAGTTTCTCAACCCCTTTCTCCCCATAACCCTTGATAGCCTTGACATCAAGAACCTATCGATCCCTGTCTTAAATATACGCAATGACCTGGCCTCCAAAGCCTTCTGTGGCAGTGAACTCCATAGATTCGCAACTCTCTGGCTAAAGAAGTTTCTCTTTATCTCTGTTATAAAAGGTCTTCCTTTCATTAAGGTTGTGCCCTCAGGTCCTAATCTGTCCTACCAGTGGAATCATCTTCCCAACATCCACTCTGTCCAGGCCACTCAGTATTCTGTAAGTTTCAATTAGAACCCTCCTCATCCTAACTCCATCGAGTATAGACTCAGAGTCCTCAAACTTTCCTCATATGTTAAGCTTTTCATTCCTGGGACCATTCTCATGAACGTCCTCTGTGCCAGCTTCAGGGCCAGTACATCTTTCCTGAGATATAGTGCCCAAAACTGCGCACAAAACTCCAAATATGGCCTGACCAGAGCCGAAGTACATCCCTGCTTTTATATTCAAGTTCTCTCAAAATAAATGCCAACATTGCATTTGCCTTCCTGACTACTGACTCAACCTGCAAGTTTACCCTGAGAGAATCCTGGACTAGAACTCCCAAGTCTCTTTGCACTTCAGACTTCTGAATTCTCTCCCCATTTAGAAAATAGCCCATGCTTCTATTCTTCTTACTAACGTCCATGACCTCACACTTTCCCATGTTGTACTCCATCTACCACTTCTTTGCCCACACTCCTAACCTGTCCAAATCCTTCTGCAGCCTCCCCGCATCCTCAATACTACCTGTCCCTCTACCTATGTTTGTATCGTGTGCTCCTCAGCTCCTTCATCTAGATCGTTAATGTATAAAGTGAAAAGTTGTGGTCCCAACACTGACTCTTATGGAACACTACTTGTCACCAGCTGCCATCCTGAGAAGAACCGTTTTATTCCCACGCTCCGGCAGAAGGCAATCTTCTATCCATGCTAGTACCTTGCCTCTCACACCATGAGCCCTTATCTTACTCAGCAGCCTCCTGTTCAGCACCTTGTCAAAGGCCTTCTGTAAGTCCAGGGTAGTTAACATCCATTGGCTCTCCTTGGTCTAACCTGCTCGTTACGTCATCAAGGAAATCTAACAGATTTGTCAGGCATGACCTCCCCTTGATGAAGCCATGCTGACTTTGCCCTATCTTACCATGCACTTCCAAGTATTCAGAAATCACATCCTTCACAGTGGACTCTAAAATCTTACCCACGACGGAGGTTAGGCTAATTGGCCTGTAATTTTCAGTCTTTTGCTTTACTCCCCTTTTAAACTGGGGTGTAGTCCGTCTGGTCCTGGTGATTTATCCACCTTCAGGCCATTCAGTTTTTCTGACACCTTCTCTTTGGTGATGGCCACTATACTCAGCTCTGCCCCAACTCTCGAATTTTTGGAATATTGCTCGTGTCTTCCACTGTGACTACTAATGCAAAGTAATTATTCAGTTTCTCAGCCATTTCCTCCTTCCCCACTACTATCTCTCCAGCATCATTTTCCAGCGGTCCAATGTCCACTTTTGCCTCTCTTTTGCCCATTATATATCTAAAGAGACTCTTACAGTCCTCCTTTATATTACTGGCTAACTTAGCCTCATATTTAATCTTCTCCCTCCTTATTTCTTTTTTGTTGCCCCCTGTTAGTCTTTGTAGGCTTCCTAATCCTCTGGTTTCCCACTGCCCTTCGCCACATTATATGCTTTGACTTTTGCTTTTATGCTTTTCTTGACTTCCCTAGTCATCCATGGTTGCCTCATCGTCCCTGTACCATGCTCCTTTTTCCTAGGGATGATTTTTTTGCTGTGTCTCCTGAATTACTCCTAGAAACGCCCGCCATTGCTGTTCCACTGTCTTTCATGCTAGGCTCCTCTCCCAGTCAAATCTGCCCACCTCCTCCTCATGCCTTTATAGTTGCCTTTATTCAGCTGTAGTACCATTACCTCTGATTCTATCTTCTCCCTCTCAAATTGCAGAGTAAATTCAATCATATTATGATCACAGCTTCCTAAGGGTTCCTTCACCTTAAGCTCCCTTAACAAAACTGCCTCATTACACAACACTAAATCCAGCATTGCCTGTCCCCTAATGGGCTCCACCACGAGCTGCTCCAAAAAGCCATCTCGTAGACATTCCACAAATTCCTTTTCTTGCAATCCACTACTAACCTGATTTTCCCAGTTCACTTGCATATTGAAATCCCCTATGATCACCGTAACTTTGCCTTTCTTACGCACCTTTTCTATCTCCTGGTGTATCTTGCGCCCCAGCTCCTGACTACTATTTGGAGGCCTATATATAATTCCATCTATAGATTTTTTTTACCTCTGCGTTTCCTCAACTCTACCCACACAGATTCTACACCATCTGACCCTACTTCATTTCTTACTATTGATTTAATTTCATTTCTTACCAATAAGACAATCCCATTCCTTCTGCCCACCTGCCTATCTTTTCAATAAGATGTATATCCTTGGATATTCAGCTCCCAATACTGGTCGCAATAAAGGACACCAAGTCAGGATCAAGGGAGAAAAATGTAAATGTTGTGATTTATTGCCTGATTATAAATGGACTTGCCATCTATCTCTCTTATACTCAAGCTTGTTTGTAACTTTATGATTGTCCTTTGATCATGTTGTGTTAGCCCTTGGATAAAAATTCACATTTATGGACTGAATGACACTCCAAACAACAAATTAATCTCATACAGAGCTATGTTGCTGTCATTGAGATACCTTGAAGCAGCATTGGACTGCAAATACAGTGCACATTATGTCATATCTTATTAAATGTGCAATGTTACTATCAAAGTAACGTGCAAAGACATGCAACAATATCTGCAGCATGGTGATAATTCAACACTTTCCTGGTAGAATTATGGATAAGATCTCAGACAGGAAACCACAGACGACCGCTTTACCAAAAAGCACAAACTGGTGTTATGAAGATGCTCCACTGTTTATTTTTTTTTAAAGAGGTGTTAATTTGAACATACTGAGAAGAGATACCTGGAATTTTTTGTAAGCAATTCATGGAAAGGACAACAGGATGCATTTTCTTTTCAGAACCACTACTTAGAAATCATATGTCTTAAGGTATACAGACAGTACATATTCAGAACGAATTTCTGAATAATTTCTGAAGAAGGGTCTAGGCCCGAAACGTCAGCCTTCCTGCTCCTCTGATGCTGCTTGGCCTGCTGTGTTCATCCAGCTCTACACCTTGTTATCTCATATTCAGAACTGCTGGATTTACTGGAAATGACATGCCTGAGTTTATGGCTTTGATTTGAATGTTATTTGCTATTTAGTTGGGGTAGATTCTACTGAGAGAGAGATAAGCTACCTGGGTAATTCTCTACCTTTCTGGGAAAACTCTTGTGGAGAGTCTAGTATGAGACCTGAAAAATTGATGTTTTCCTGAAAAGCCTAAAGCCTCTGGATTTTCAGCAATTCCTGGACAAACTGTGACACCCAGCTATGCAAGCTACCTGAAGCAGTCTGAACATTTCATTCTTTTATCCCTTTTCCATCAAGAACTAACAATTATTGGCCAAAGTGTTCCCCTCCCACTCCACAAAATTAATTCCTGTAGATAAAGTTCAATTTTTTCCCTTTAATTGGTACATGTATGTTGTGTTTTTTAGGAAGTTAAGTATTTATACTTTTCCAGTTCACAATATGTTGATCAACTTTACTGAAGGAGTTCTTTTTCCCAATAATAAATCAGTTATTCTAATTTAACTACGTCAGTTACTAGGTAAAGAATTTAAACTTATATGGTGACCAGTGGAGTGATGGGAATATAGAGTGACAGTGACTCATGAGTGGCTTTCCTATACCGGTTGTAACATTCAAAGCATAATGTTAACCTTTGAATAGGGAATGATGTAGGGACATTGGAAAGATTCTGAAACACAGAAAATAATGAAGCAATAAAGGGAATGATGTTTTTAAAGCTAATTAATGTTTCCTTTCCTTTAACAGGCTGTTCTTGTGCCATCCAATGTGGATGGGATACAAAGTATCCTTTTTATTACTAATAATCAAGATAAACCATTAATACTAAATATTGTTGGTGACAATTTTATTCCTTTACTTCCTTAGCGGAGAATATTACATAGTGATATGTCTACTGAGTTGGTAATGTCATAACTTGATTATTGATTTATCAGTTTAATATGATCCCAGGTGATTTATTACACATTGTTGTATCAGTGCACCTCCTTTCTTTAAAAAAAAGTAATTCTATATTTTTGCCTTTTTTAATTCCCGTATATGAATATTTCAAATGAAATTTTTTCGTACATTGTCTCAATGTAGGTATTAACTTTTAAAAGGAAGAATAGAAGGACTGTATAACAAATAAACTTAATAGAAATGAAGATTGAAATCAGGAACAAAAGAGAAGCAGGGGTGGTAAGCCAAGAAAGATCAAATTAAATAAAGAGAAAGTAAATAGAGAAAGAGAAGACTAAGAATAACGTGGAAAAAGAAATATCAGTACAAGGGCGCAAGTGCATGACCTTAAAAAAAAAACCCAAGGGACAGATTCACTCATACAGTATCAATAATTTATAAAGTCCTGTCCTTGATATCAAAGGCTTAGAAGCCTTATGTCGATATTGTATTGTTCTGTACGCAACTATAATGTAGATGTTAACATGTTGATTGAATGCTACAACATAAGACAGGAACTGTAGTATTCATTTACCGATTATTGCCCAAGAGTAATTTGTATGTTAATTCACCTTAAATTTTAAGATTTAAAATCTGCTGCTAAATTTGTGCTTGTAGTGGAAAAAGATGCCACCTTCCAGAGGTTATTGGACGATGACTTTTGCACAAAACTGTTCCCATGTATTATTATAACTGTAAGTGCCCTGATATCTTTTTCCTGTTGTCTTTTTTCACAATCAACTTGGCAGTTATTGTTTCAGCATTCTTTAATTCATGTATTTGAGTTTCATTAAGGATGCTGTTTAGCCCGTTCTGTTCTTGAAACTGTACTAAATGTACATTTTAACCTCTGCAGACCAGACCATTCCAAGGAAATAGCAGAATCAATTATTACAAATGAGCTGTTGTTAATTACAATTGTGAGTCACTTAAGGGGCTAAGAAAGCTTGGGAAGATTGAGAAAGGACTCATCTATTTTCCTCAAATGAGTCCTTTCTGCGTGAGGAAAGAAAGAGACAGGAGGAATTGCAATCTACTGAATGGAAAGTAGAAGTTTGCATATAAGGAAATTGTCTTAGGCATCTTCTGCAACTCCTAACTGGGTATAGCTGTGCTGGTGTTTAGCAGAATCAGTTATTTGAGGTTCTTTTTGGAATCAGCTTGGTCTGACTCTATTTTCTCATTCCTAGGAAAACAGAAATGAAGAGAATGTTAAGAGGCTGCCTCAGATTCACATATTTAATCAACGAAAAATGTCTTTGTGTGTGGCAAACTTAAAAATAAGTTGGTGCAGATATTCTGATGGCCAGGTAGTTGTCGGAACAGTGCAGACTGAGCTGCACATTGGGATGGCGTAAAATTCTTGACACAGCAGACTCTGTGATAATTGCCCAGCACATTGAAACTTCCAGTAGGCGTTCCTCCATGTGTAGAATTGACAAAATCATAAGTTTCGGAAGGATGCAACTCAATTAAGCTTTGTTACCCAGGATAAGTTGGAAAACCTATTCTCATTCCTAACACCACTACACCCTACCCAATCCCCCAGATGAAATGCCCCCCCAGACCCCCTCATTGAACTGATCCCCTGAATCTGACCATCCCCTCTCCCATTAGATGCCAGACCTGACATTCCCCACCTGGAAAAACCTGATAGCCCCCATCTCCAGAGCGCCACACACACATTCCTCACCAACTCAACCTGACTTGACATCCTTATTGGCCTGACCACAGTCCCAACACCTCCCTTCTCCAATGCAATCCTGGCCTGACACTACCTGACCTGACACAGCACCTGACCTACTCCTCTAAACTCTCATTCACTTGACTGGCACCTTACCCCCTCACCCAGCTGGTACTCCAGCCACCTGGCAACTTACCTACCTGGCACCTGCCTCCTGACCCACTTGGCCCAGCTGCTTCACTCACCTGGCATTCTAGTCCCCTCACCTGGTTCCCTGACCAGCTGGCACACTATCCCCCCTCACCCACCTGGCACCCCACTTCCCTCACTCCATCTTACACTCCAGATCCTTCATTTGCCTTATATTGTTACCATTTAAAGGGGGCGCTGTCAAAATGCTGGCTGTGCTTTAGGATATGTATATCACAAAACATGGCACATGTTTTAAGAAAGGATGTAAATGCATTGGACGCAGTTTACTGGACTAATACCTGGATTGGAGAGGTTGTCTTGTGAGGAAAAGTTGGACAGGCTGGGATTATATCCACTGGAATTTAGAAGAGTAAGAGGCAACTTGATTGAAACATATAAACATATAAAATCGTGAAGAGTCATGACAGGATAGATGTGGAGAAGATATTTCCTCATATGACAGAGGAATCACTGTTTAAAAATCAGGGGTTGGCCATTTAAAACAGAGAAGTGATTAATGCTGTTTTTTGTGACATTGTAAGTATTTGCAGTCTCTCTCAGAAAAGATGATGGAAGCAGATTCCTTGAATATTTCTAATGCAGAGGTGGATAGATGCATGTTAAACAAGGGGTGAAAGCTTATCAAGAGTTGGTGTGAATATGGATTTGAAGCTACAATCAGATCAGCCACAATCTTATTGAATGGTGGAGCAGGCTCAAGGGGTGGAATGGCCTACTGCTGTTACGGATTAATATATTTGTAAGTCAAAATGATTATGTCTGTATGACAGTTGCTCAACAATACATGACTGTACACTGGCCATGAGCTCAAAAGAACCTTCTGACTTTAGTCTCCAATTCTTTTATCATCACTCATTCCTTCAAGAACCTTCTGGTCTCTAAAGGTTTACTACTCTGTTGACAGAACTCTTAGGTTTGCAAAGGGCAAGATGGGGTCCAGTCAGTGAAAACAGCAATACATGACTGATGACTCAAAGCAATCTTATTGCTTCAATTTGTTCTTTTTAACAGAAGACAATCACATCACAGCCTGATTCCACAAGGAATCTCAGATAAATATTTTACCAAACATCTGTACATTTATACATGTCACAGTGGATACAAGTGGCCAGATTACAAAAGATGAAGAGCATGGTACTTGAATGAAGAGCTTGTTCTAGGCCAGATATCATGGCTGTACCATGCTGTAACACCAGGAGTTTTAGACACATTCCAGAAGGTTTACTTACCATCGGTGGGTATTATCCAAATGAAGCAGTTGTGATCAAGCATGATTGATTGTTTGTAGGAGAGTCTTACATGTACTGAGTAGCAACTCGAGACATTGGTGACGCATCACTTTACGGCACAGGTACAGTGAAAGTGATTTTCAGCACTGCTGTTGAAGCCCAGGGATCCAAGTGTATGATCTGATCTCAAAATGCCAGGAGATTGGATAATGATGCTTGAAATAGAAATGTAGATATTGTAGCCCTGTGCAAAGTTAGACCAGTGTTGAGACAATGTTCTTGAAGATTGAACATTGAGGGTCAGGCTGTTGAATATCTGTACACCTCACACCGGACTCCTCTAGCCTTTGATCCAGCTTCTGAAGTATCCGACGATTCTTTGGGATGCACTTATGACAATGCATTTGCATGAAGTCTTGGTGACTTGTCTGCCTTTAAATATCCTAGTTTGTCAAATACTCTGCCTATGTGATAGAGACTGTTACAATGTTTTTTCTCCCATTAGCACCTTGCTTATCAGTTATCTTTGGAGTATTTAGCATGTCCTCCACCATGGAGACTAATGCAAAATTTCCCTGCCATTTCCCTGTTCCCCATTATCAGCTCCCCATTGCATTTTGCAAGGATTCCACGCTTATTTTAGCTGCTACTCTTTTTATATGCCTGTAGAAGTTCTTGATGTTTGATTTCATCATTCTAGCTAGCTTACTTTCATAATTAGATTTCTCATTCTTTATTAGCTTTTTAGTCATGCGCTACTGTTTCTCCCAAAAAAAATTCCCAATCCTCTGGCCAATCACTAGTTTTATAACTTTGTATACCTTAGTTTTGACTGGATATGCTGCTTGACCATCTTTGTTAATCACATGTGGTTCATCCTTCTCACCCTGTCCTTTATTTTGACCAGAATAATTTTTTGCTGAGCATATTAAAATATCTGCTTAAACATCTGCCATTATTCATCCAATGACTTTCCTTTTGGCCTATTTTCCTAGCCTGCTTTAGATTCTCTTTCTTCCTACCACAGTAATTGTCCTTACTTAATTTGAAGACTTAGGATTGTAATCCAAGTAACTCTGTCAAACTGAATTTTAAATTCTGTTATGTTGTGACCATTACTCTTAGAGGATCCTTAACTAAGAGATCCTTTTTCAGACTACCTCATTGTATGTTACTAGATCTAAACTATCTTGTTACATAGGATAACCTATTGCTCTAAGAAGCAATTGCTGATACAGTCTAGAAATTTGTCCTCCATGTTATCCTTGCCCATCTGATTTTTCCTTTCAGTATGCAGATTAAAATCACCCAAGACCATTGTAGTGCCCGTTTTTTACATGCATCTGTTATTTCCTTGTTATTTTTGTTTTTGTTTGTGCTAAACCATATAGCAGTATTGTGAGTTTGGTATCCCTGGCTGAGGGAAAATTGCAAAAAGAGAAGGCAATGCAGGGCAAGAATGCTGTGAGCATCCAGGTACCCTCAAGTGAACAAACTGGATATGCAGCTTGGTCCAGTCCATGAACTAGGGACATGCTCCTGAATTTTCCTTGCAGCAGCATATGTGCAGAAGCATCTGCAATGGATTAGAGATGTACCATGAGAATTCTTACAGCTGGTACATGTAAGGTATCAATTCCTGTGGACGTCAAGTGCCTGTAGCCAGTGCCCAGAGAGTATGCCAAAGATCTTGATGCCTGTCTTCAATGTGAAGGTCATTTCAAGCAAACAGCAAGCTGAAGTTGCTAGTTACCTGCTCTGACTTTCATGCCGAGAATTCTCGATGTCTAGATTATTCAGTGAGACAGGTACACTAGATGCTCAATATTAATGAGGCAAGTTGTACAATTAATAAGGCTTTTAACAAGCAATAATCCTGCTAATTGGCAACTCACCACTGCCAGTTTGTGAATACATAAAAGATGCAGTGGGTTTCTCTGAACACAGGCTAGATCTCGCCAGACTTCTTGTGCGATTCTGCCATGACTCCTGCCATAACTCATGTCATTCAGGGTCCTATAAGATACTGTCCCAAGAACTTGAGTTTCTTTTTGAAATCACCTTGTTAGCCTTTATTTCAGAAATTGTGATCTATACTTCGAGATCTCTTTGTTCTTTTTTGTATACTCTTAATATGTAAGCAGTGTGTGGCCTCCTAATACCTGTCACTAAAATGTAATGACTTCAATCTTAGGCTTCTTGGTGTCACACTGGGTCAAATGCTGCTTTGAAAGTAAGGGCAATCATTGCCTCATGAATTCATTTATTAGTAAGTATTTGATTAAGGCGACAATGTGGTGTTAACTGAGTGATTCTGCTGAAATGTAAATTAAGCATTAATGAACAAGTAATTGGTGAGTGCTGATGATTGAAAGTAAACTGATGAAGTGATAATCGTTAAGGTTAGACTTGTTCTGATTTTTCCAGACAGTGCATTACACCCTTCTTGAAAAAGGATTTTAAAGATAAGCCCATTAATTACAGACCAGTTACTTTAACTTTGCTGGTGGGGAACTTATAAAAACAATTATTTGGGATAGAGTTAGTAGTCACATGATAAAATGTGAGTTGTTTTGGGAGAGTCAGCATGGATTTGTTAAGGGAAAATCACATTGAATTAATTTTCTGGAGTTTTCTCAAGAGTTAAGAGGGTGTTGGTAAGGGCAAGGCTGTTGATAGGTTGTGCATGGATTTCCAAATGGCGTTTGATACAGTGCCACACAACAGGCATGTGAGGAAAGTTGTAATTCATGGGATAATGCAGTAACAATGTAGATGCAAAATTGGCCGTGGAATTGGAAATAGGGAGTGATGGTTAAAGGATATTTTTCAGGTGGGACAGAGTTTGTAGTGGAGTTCCTCAGAGGTCAGTATCTAGACTCTCACTTTTCCTGATTATATACAAACGATCTGGATCTATGCAGGGGACAATTTCACAGCTGGCAGTTGATACAACACTTGTAAGAGTCATAAAATGAAAGGAGAACACTATAGAATTTCAGATAGACATTGGCAAATTGTAGAGTGGGTGTAGAGTGGGCAGTAGGTAACAGATGAAGTTCATGCCATGGCACGGTCCCACCAGTGGTGGGACGGCATAGTAGCTCAGTGATTAGCACTGCAGTCTCACAGCGCCAGGGTCTTGGGTTTGATTCCTCAGGCGACTGTCTGTGTGGAATTTGCACATTTTCCCTGTGTCTGCGTGGGTTTCATCGAGATGCTCAGATTTCCTCCCACAGTCCGAAGCTGTGCAGGTTGGATGGTTTGGCCATTTTAAATTGCCCATAGTGTCCAGAGGTGTGCAGGTGGTGGGGGGAGGGTAGCCATGGGAAATGCAGGGCTAAAGGGATAGGATGGGTCTTGGATGGATGCTCTTTGGAGGGTCGGTGTGGATTCAATGGGCTGAATGGCCTGCTTCCACAGTGTAGGGATTCTGTGATTCATTGTGGAGAAGTGTGAGGTGATGTACTTTGATACAAAGAACATCGAGAGACAGTATAAAATAGTACTATTCTAAAGGGGTGTGCAGGGCCATAAAAACCTGGATGTAAACATGCAAAAGTCATTAATGGTGGCAGAACAGGTGGAGTGCTGTTAATAAAACACAAGCTTTTTAGCAGGGACAAAAAGTACAAGAGCAGGGAGATTATGCTGTACCTATATAGAACACTGATTGGATCTCAGTTGGAGCATCGCTTACTGTTCTGAGTGCACCATTTTAGAAAGAATGTTAAATGCATTGGTGAAAGTGCAGAAGAGGTTTATGAGAATGGTTCTGGGGATAGGAAACTTCAGTTATGAGGAATAATTAGAGAAATTGGTTCTGCTTTCCTCAGAGGAGAAAGCTCAGGGGATGTTTGCTAGAAGTTCGCAAAACCATGACGGTTTGAACAGAGCATTTAAGGAGAAACTATTTGCACTTGTAAAGGATCAAGAACCAGAGGGCATGGTTTTAAATTGTTCTGCAAAAGAAGCAAATGCAAGGTGAGGGAAAAAAACTTTCACATGATAAGTGGTCCATGTTTGGAATGTCCTGTCAAATCATGGTAGAGGCAGGGTCCGTCAAAGCACTTGAGGGCATTTAAACATTAATAATGTACAGGCTTTTTGGGAAAAGGCAGGAGTTTGGCACAGTCAAAATGCTCAGATGGGCTGAATGGCCTTCTTCTGCACCGTAACAATTCTGTAGTTCTGTGACGTAGTGTGATGATTTGGAATGCAAAGTTGTTAAATTCACAATGGCATTTTTTTTCTCTGAAGTGCATGGGAACTCATTATTGGGTTGTGTTACATGTGAGTTACTGTCTCTTCATGCTGACACTAAAGACCGAAAATAGGACAAGATTTAATTGCTCAGCATTCAGAGCCATTATATTAATGAAAACAAGGAAAACAAAAAGGATACTGTAGTGTTTCACAATCAATTCATCAGAAAGGATAACGATAAGAAATTCATTTGCAAAGTGTTAGCCAAATTCATCAATCAGATGTATTTACATGTTTTTGTTTTTTCAACATCTGTTATCTCTACTGATTTTCAGGGAAAAGGAGTACCAGATCTAAGCACCAGACTGATGGTCCGGAAACTATGGGACATTCTACACATTCCAGCTTTTGCCCTTATGGATGCTGATCCACATGGTAATTACAGTCTCAGAGTAAGAAGCCAGACTTAACATTTTTCCAAGTCTTTACTCTAGCTATCTCTCCTGCTCTCCTAAGGATTTTGAGCCATGACAGATTGGCTGGGCCAGGATTTCCCAAGTAGTATCCAGGTATAGGACTGAGGGGAAGGCTTTGTGGGTTAGATTGTTGGCAGAGGGAATGTTCACTAAGGGCATTGATCACAAATTTTGGCACAGTATATCCCAAGGAGTTTTGCCTACATGCTGTATCTTAAGCTTACCAAGAATTCCTGAAAAGGTTTTTTTCCCTCTATTGATTTGTGGGACGTGGGCATCACTGGCTGGCCAGCATTTCTTACCCATCTCTAGTTGCCCTTGAGAAGGTGGTGGTGAGCTGCCTTCTTGAACCGCTGCAGTCCACCTGCTGTGGGTTGACCCACAATGCAATGACAGGGGGAGTTCCATGATTTTAACCCAGCGATAGTGAAGGAACGGCAATATATTTCCAATTCAGGATGGTGAAGTGGCTTGAAGGGGATCTTGAAGGTAGTGGTGTTCCCATATGTTTGCTGCCCTTGTCTTTCTAGATGGAAGTGGTCGTGGGTTTGGAAGGTGCTTTCTTAGGATCTTTGGTGAATTTCTGCAGGGCATCTTGTAGATAGGACACACTGCTGCTGCTGGGCGTCAGTGATGGAGTGGATGCTTGTGGATGTAGATGTAGTGCCAGTCAAGTGAGTTGCTTTGTCCTGGATGGTATCAAGCTTCTTGAGTGTTGTTGGGGCTGCACTCATCCAGGCAAGTGGGGAGTATTCCATCACACATCTGACTTGTGCCTTGTAGGAAGTGGACAGGCTTTGAGGAGTCAGGAGGTGAGTTACTCGCCGCAGTATTCCTAACTTCTGACCTGCTCTTGTAGCCACTGTGTTTATGTGGTGAGTCCAGTTGAGTTTCTGGTCAATGATAACCCCCAGTTTGATAGTGGGGCATTCAGTGATGGTAACATCATTGAATGTCAAGGGGTGGTAGTTAGATTTTCTCTTATTGGTGATGGTCATAGCCTGGCATTTGTGTGACGCAAATGCCACTTGCCACTTGTCAGCCCAAGCCTCGATATTGTCCAGATCTTGTTGCATGTGAACACGGACTGCTTCAGTATCTGAGGAGTCGCGAATGGTGCTGAACATTGTGCAGTCATCGGTGAACACCTCCACTTCTGACGTTATGGTGGAAAGAAGGGCATTGATGAAGCAGCTGAAGATGGTTGGGCCAAGAACACTACCCTGAGGAACTCCTGTGAAGATGTCCTGGAGCAGAGATGATTGACCTCCAACAACCACCACCATCTTCCTATATATCAGGTGTGACTCCAACCACTGGAGTGTTTGCCCCCTAATACCCATTGATTCCAGTTTTACTGGGGCTCCTTGATGCCACATTCGGTCAAATGCAGCCTTGATGTCAACGGCTGTCTCTCTCATCTCACTTCTGGAATTCAGCTCTTTTATCTGTGCTTGAACCAAGGCTGAAATGAGGTCAGGAGCTGAGTGGCCCTAGCGGAACCCAAACTGAGCATCACTGAGCAGGTGCTTTACTGATGATTGAGAGTAGAGTGATGGGGCGGTAATTGGCTGGGTTGGATTTGTCCTGCTTTTTGTGTACGGGACATACTTGGACAATTTTCCACATTGTCGGGTAGATACTGGTGTTGTAACTGTACTGGAACAGCTTGGCTGGGGAGCCACAAGTTCTGGAATACAAGTCTTCAGTACTATTGCTGGAATGTTGTCAGGTCTCGTAGCCTTTGCAGTATCCAGTGTCTCCAGCTGTTTCTTGATATCACATGGAGTGAATCAAATTGGCTGAAGACTGGTATCTGTAATGCTGGGGACTACTGGAAGAGGCAGAGATGGATCATCCATATGGCACTTCTGGCTGAAGATTGCTTTTGCACTGATGTGCTGGGCTCTTCCATCATTGAGGATGGGAATATTTAAAATTGTACACCTAGAATTCATTTTGTGCCTTTGTCATCCTCAGTGCTTCCTTCCAAGTGTTGTTCAACATGGAGGAGTACCAGTTCTTCAGCTGACGGAAGTAATCAGCCGGAGCTTTCCTTGCCCATGTTTAACCTGAAGCCATGAGACTTCATGGGGTCCGGAGTCAATGTTGAGGACTCCCAGAGCAACTCCCTCCAGACTGTATACCACTGTGCCACCGCCTCTGCTGGGTCTGACCTGCCGATCGAACAGGACATATCCAGGGATGGTGATAGTGGTGTCTGGGACATTGTTTGTAAGATATGATTCTGTGAGTATGACTGTGTCAGGCTGTTGCTTGACTAGTCTGTGAGACAGCTCTCCTAATTTTGGCACTAGCCCCCAAATGTTAGTGAGGAGGACTTTGCAGGGTCAACAGGGGTGTTTCCGCTGTTGTCTTTCTGTAATGTGTTAAACCTTAACCAGCTTGAGGGTCATTTTCTGCCACTTTTTTTAAAATTGCTACAACCTAGTTAAGAGGGAGTGAACTGATTCCTTTCATTGTCCCATTCCATGAGGTGCAACAAAGTTTGGGTTTTGACAGGAGGGTGGTATTGCTGATTATTAGATTGTATATGTCTCAGGATGGGAACAGTGAGTCAGGTTTCTTAAAGTAACAAATAAAGAACCAATTTATAACGAAAAGAATTTACTCCAGCAAAGACTATTAACAAAACTACTAGAATGTGCATTTACATTCAACTACAATTCTTGAAAATTAACACACAAAACCACCACTAAACATAAGAACATAAGAACTAGGAGTAGGAGTAGGCCGTCTGGCCCTTCGAGCCTGCTCCGCCATTCAATAAGATCATGGCTGATCCTTTCGTGGACTCAGATCCACTTACCCGCGTTCTCACCGTATCCCTTAATTCCTTTATTGTTCAAAAAAAATCTACCTTTTTTTTAGAAACATTTACTGAAGTAGCATCAACTACTTCACTGGGCAAGGAATTTCATAGATTAACAACCCTCTGGGTGAAGAAATTCATTCTCAGTTCAGTCCTAAATCTGCTCCCTCTAATCTTGAGGCTATGCCCTCTTGTCCTAGCTTCACCTGCCAGTGGAAACATCCTCTCTACTTCTATCTTATCTATTCCCTTCATAATTTTATATGTTTCTATAAGATCCCCCCTCAATCTTCTGAATTCCAATGAATATAATCCCAATCTACTCAGTCTCTCCTCATAAGCCAACCCCCTCAACTCCAGAATCAACCTAGTGAACCTCCTTTGCACCCCCTCCAGTGCCAGTACATCCTTTCTCAAGTAAGGAGACCAAAACTGCACACAGTACTGCAGGTGTGGCCTCACCAGCACCTTGTACAGCTGCAACATAACCTCTCTGCTTTTAATTTCAATCCCTTTAGCAATGAAGGACAAAATTCCATTTGCCTTCCTAATCACTTGTTGTACCTGCAGATCTACCTTCTGTGATTCATGCACAAGGACACCCAGGTCCCTCTGCATTAGCAGCATGCTGCAACTTTTTACCATTCAAGTAATAATCCTTTTTACTATACTCCTACCAAAATGTATGACTTCACATTTATTTACATTGTATTCCATCTGCCAGACCTTTGTCCACTCACTCAATGTATCTACGTACCTCTGCAAAGTTTCACAGTCCTCTGCACACTTTGCTTTGCCACTCATCTTAGTGTCATCTGCAAACTTTGACACCCTACACGTGGTCCCCAACTCCAAATCATCTATATAAATTGTAAATAATTGCGCTCCCAACATTGATCCCTGAGGCACACCACTAGTCACTGAATGCCAGCTAGAATAGCACTCATTTATCCCCACTCTTTGCTTCCTGTTAGTCAACCAATCCTCTATCCATGCTAATACTTTACCCTTAATGCCATGCATCCTTATCTTATGCAGTAGCCTCTTGTGCGGCACCTTGTCGAAGGCCTTTTGGAAATCTAGGTACACCACATCCACTGGGTCCCCATTGTCCACCTCGCTCGTAATGTCTTCATAGAATTCCAAAAGATTTGTCAAGCATGACCTGCCCTTCATGAACCCATGCTGCGTCTGCCCAACGGGATAGTTCCTATCAAGATGCCTTGCTATTTCTTCCTTGATAATAGACTCAAGCATCTTCCCCACTACAGAGGTTAAGCTAACCGGTCTATAATTCCCCATCTTTTGTCTACTTCCCTTTTTAAACAGTGGCATCACATTTGCTGTTTTCCAATCTGCTGGGACTGCCCCAGAGTCCAGCGAATTTTGGAAAATTACCGCCAGTGCACCTGCTATTTCTCCTGCCATCTCTTTTAGTACCCTGGGATGCATTCCGTCAGGGCCAGGAGACTTATCAATCCTTAGCTCCATTAGCTTGTCCAACACTACCTCTTCTGTAATTATGATTGTTTCCAGGTCCTCACCTACCTTCGTCTCTTTGTCAATTACTGGCATGTTATTAGTGTCCTCCACTGTGAAGACCGATACAAAATACCTGTTCAATGCCTCGGCCATTTCATCATATCCCGTAACTAAATTCCCCTTCTCATGCTCTAAAGGGCCAACGTTTACTTTAGCCACTCTTTTTCATTTTATATATTTATAGAAACTTTTCCTATCTGTCTTTATATTCTGTGCTAGTTTTTTCTCATGTTCTATCTTACTTTTCCTTATAGCTCTTTTTGTGGCTTTCTGTTGACCTTTAAAGTTTTCCCAATCTTCTAGTTTCATGCTGTTTTTGGCCACTTTGTATGCCTTCTCTTTCAATTTGATAGCCTCCCTTATTTCTTTAGACACCCATGGCAGATTACCCCTTTTCTTACAGTCCTTCCTTTTCATTGGAACATACTTTTGCTGAGCACTTTGAAAGATTGCTTTGAAAGTCCTCCACTGCTCGTCAACTGTCCCACCATAAAATCTTTGTTTCCAGTTTACTTTAGCCAAGTCCTCCCTCATTCTGTTGTAGTTCCCCTTGTTCAAGCACAGGACCCTGGTATTGGATTTTATCTTCACACTCTCCATCTGTATTCTAAATTCAACCATACTGTGATCACTCCTTCCAAGAGGATCCCAGCTATGAGGTCATTAATTATTCCTGTCTCATTACACAGGACCAGATCTAGGATAGCTTGCTCCCACGTTGGTTCCATTACATACTGTTCAAGAAAACTATCACGGATACACTCAACAAACTCCTCCTCAAGGCTACCCTGACTGAGCTGGTTCGACCAATCTACATGTAGGTTAAAATCCCCCATGATAATTGCCGTACCATTTTTACAGGCATTAGTTATTTCTTTGTTTATTGCCCGCCCCAATGTGATGTTATTATTTGGTGGCCTATAGACTACGCCTATCAGTGACTTTTTCCTCTTAGAATTTCTAATTTCCACGCAAATGGATTCAACCTCATTCTCCATAGAACCTATATCATCTCCCAGCACCGCCCTGATGGCGTCCTTGAATATCAGAGCTACACCACCTCCCTTACCTTCTTGTCTGTCCTTCCGAATAGTCTGGTATCCTTGGATATTTAACTCCCAGTCGTGACCATCCTGTAACCATGTCTCCGTAATGGCTACCAAATCATATTCATTCGTGATGATTTGTGCCATTAACTCATCAACCTTGTTACGAATGCTACGAGCATTCAGGTAAAGTGCCTTTATGCTAGCTTTCTTACCCTCATGATTTCCAACATCTCTAATAATATCTCCTGAGTTATCCTTCCTTTTCGCTTCTTTCATAGTCTGCCTTGAACTTAAACCCTCCTGCACACATGCTAACCTGCTGCTTACCTTTTTATTTACCATCATACTCGCTGTCGTTTTCCCTTTCTCTTCCCCCCAGCTCACTAGTTTAAAGTCCTAGTGACCACCCTATTTATCCTTTTCGCAAGAACACTGGTTCCAGATCGGTTCAGGTGGAGACCATCCCATCGGTACAGATCCCTCCGGTTCCAAAACTGATGCCAATGCCCCATGAAATGGAACCCCTCTTTCCCACACCACTCCCTTAGCCACGTGTTTACTTCCCTAATTTTCTTATCCCTAAGCCAATTTGCACGTGGCTCGGGCAGTAATCCGGAGATTATGACCCTCGAGGACCTGTTCCTTAATTTCGTTCCTAGTTAAACCTGGGTTAAAAATAGAAAATTCTACTGAGTATTACTTTGAAGTATTTTGGCAAAGTAACAGTTAAAATCAGAGAAAAATACTTATTCACAGATCTTCCAAAATCCTGCTCTGCAGTCAGTCCTGTTCGGCAATGAGTATCTTCATGGATCAATTATGGCGTATTGAATCCCTTTTTTCTGAAGACAGTGGTGTAGATTCAGACCTCGCCTTTAAGAACCTTACACCTTTGGTGAAGAAGACCCAGTGATGTTTTAACTGCGAGGGGATTCAGAGAAAAACAATAGGATAAGGACTTTTGCCCTGTGGCAGGCTCTCTCTGATTGCCTATGTTTAAAAACAATGTATTTTGCCCTCGCAAGCCAGGTCACATGACTTCTGTCTAAAAATGTTGCAGACTTGGTTAATCCAATCAGCTTCAGTTTGTCTTCTGTGAACACATAATTTTTGCTGCAGTAGCCAGTGTTCTTTACTTTGTAAAATGTTGTTTTCAAAATGGTTTAAGGTAGATTTATATGTCCAGCTGATGGTATTATAAGTTAATATTTGAACTAACATAGTCATAGAAATATACAACATAGAAACAGACCATTTGGTCCATTCGTCCATGCCAACCAGATATCCTATATAAATCTAATCCCATTTCCCAGCATTTGGTTCATATCCCCTTAAACTCTTCCTGTTCATATACCCATCCAGATGCTTTTTAAATGTTGTAATCATAGCAGCCTTCACCACTTCCTCTGGCAGCTCATTCCATGTATGCATCACCCTCTGCTTGAAAAAGTTGCCCCTTAGGTCCCTTTCATATCTTTCCCCTCTCTCCTTAAACCTATGCCCTCTAGTTTTGGACTCCCCCACAGCAGGGAAAAGACCTTGCCAATTTACCCTATCCGTGCCCCTCATAATTTTATAAACCTCTATAAGGTCACCCCTTGGCCTCTGACTCTCTAGGGAAAATAGCTCCAGTCTATTCCCTGCATCTCAAATCATCCAACCCTGGCAACATGGCTTGTAAATTTTTCCTGAACCCTTTCTAGTTTCACAACATCCTTCTAAGGGAGGGAGACCAGAATTGCACGCGATACACCAAAAGTGGCTGAACCAATGTCCTGTACAGCCGCAACATGATCTCCCAACTCCTGTACTCAATCCACTGACCAATAAAGGCAAACATACCAGACACCTTCTTCACTATCCTGTCTACCTGTAGCTCCACTTTCAAGGATCAATGAACCTGCACTCCAAGGTCTCTTTGTTCAGCAACAGTTCCTAAAACCTTACCATTAAGTGTTTCAGTCCTGCCCTGATTTGCCCTTCCAAATGCAACACCTCTCATTTATCTAAATTAAACTCCATCTGCCACTTCTCAGTCCACTGGCCCATCGGATCAAGATCCTGTTGCACTTTGAGGTAACCTTTGCTGTCCACTACACCTCCAATTTTAGTGTCATCTGCAAACTTGCTAATCATACCTCCCTAAAACAAGTAACATCTTCGTAACATTATTTTTAGTGCACTGCTAACAAAATTCTGGGTGTCAGTTGTTTCAGTGGCCCCTCACTTATTTAGTGATGTTGCCAAAAAGTTGCAGCAATTTGGAGGAGGCAATGGTCTAGTAATATGAACAGAATAATATTAATCCAGAAGCTCAGTTAATGTTCCAGGTTCAAATCCTGCCATGGCAGATGGGGAGTTTGAATTCAACAAAAACCTGGAATTAATAGTCTAATGATGACCATGAAACTACTGTTGATTGTCAAAAAAAAAGTGTCCTACCACCAATCAACCTAGTAAATTGTGGCAATCTGATACTGTGGCTATAATTTGAGTGATGGTGGGAGGAGGCCCTTAAATGCCTGCAGTTGTGGCAACATAAAGTCTTCAATTAGTCCATACATGCCAGGCCATCAAATGTCTCCCCCCTTGACGGAGCAGGGAATGTTTAAGCAGCAGAAACTGCCACTGGTATATGCCAGTATCCCCACAACCCGCTTGGCACCTAGGGGCAAAAGAAATTGTGGTCTGACATACATGCACAAATCAATGTGGCCTTTGAGCATATATTTCATAACTAGAAAAATGAAGTACAGGTGCTATGAATGTTGAAAATCTAAACAGAAACAGCTATTTTTGAAATACTCAGAGTCTGTGATGAGGAAAGGAGAGTTAGCAGGCTGTATTTTATACTTTTCCCCCATAGCAAGTTTGGAGTCAGGAAGGTTGGAATGGTTGCAGATGTGGACCCAGCCATCTTCCTGCCTCCACCCCGTTTAAGTGTTTCGAGGGGATGGCCCATGGGCATACTGCTTGTGGCCTCTGGACGTTACCCAATTATCAAAGGCAGGAGCAGGGTCTTTGAGATCAAACCACCTGTCCTTCCTGCCAACCCCCTCCACCCCTTCTCTACACCCTCTACCCATCAAAACCCTCCTGCTAACATTTGTGTCAGTCTCCGTCTCTCCATGATCCTAGGCTTCCAATGGATATTGTTCCAACAGCTGTCATCACCTTTGGTGCCATTGCTGAACAAAAGAGCTGCTAATCTCTGATTTATCACCAGCTCTCTGTAGACAGTACTTCCCATCCCTGTGGTCCTAATCTTGGGGAAAACCTGCCAGTGGCCTGTTAATTACTTGATTGGTTCATAATTTGGCTGGTCTCCTCCAGTGGAGGCACCACAGGTCCCTTGCCAGCTCTACGCAGTCGGCTGAACTGCACGCCTTCATGTCCATAAACTGTTTCAGATCTGTGACCTTTCGTCCATTCTGATGTGTTTTCTCTTCACCAGATGTCACCTACCCTGCTGAATAATATGTTTTATTCCTGCTTTGGTTGTATTCAGGCATTGAAATCATGTGTATCTACAAGTATGGTTCGAGGGTGAGTATGTTATTTGAAGTCTATCCATTGAATTATTAGAATGTCATGATACAATACTGAGTAAAGTATTCATCAGCACTGATGGTGTTATCTGCAAAGTGGAATTTGTGACTTGTTCCAATTTAAATTCATACAGTGCAGAAAAGACCCTTCGGCCCATTGAGTCTTCACTGACATAACTACCACTGAAAGTGCACTCATCCCAATTTTTTGCACTTGTCCCATATCCTTGAATGTTATGATAATGAGCTTCTGATTCGGTTGTGTGTCTCTGCACATTTCCAGACGTACTAATGATTTTTTTTCCCACAATCAGAACATACAAACATTTCTCTTTACATTATGTACAGAGAGCATCAAATTTTCTTTGTGCCCAATTTGTTTACTTATGGAGAAAGATATTCAGAAACATCACTGAATTGGTTTCATAGGATTTCATACCTGAACGGAAATACTTTGTTACCTTCCTTGGCTTCTTCGACGCCTCTGTCAGGGGTAGTATCTGTGAATGGGACTAATAATGGTAACTTCCTGTGTAGAGATACAGCAGTGCAGTCACAGGACAGGTCCCAAAGAGTCCCTGGACAGCAAGGCCGGCTGCCCTGGTCCCCACAGGTGTAAACATGAACAGGCTGCCTCTGTCTGCTAAGCAGCAAGGGGAACACCACATGGGAGTGCCTGTATTTACAGGGCACTGTATCTGTTAGAAGGCTGATTGGATTGTGGTGCCTAGAACATTTGGATAGATGAGAATTTTAAAATAATAAAGTTGATTTATGTAATTTAGGCATGCTTTATACATTATAAACATTTAACTGTTAGTTACTTTCTACACAGATGTCATCAAATTCTCACCAAAGCTGTGGAGACTGCAGTAGGTAGACCTTCTAAATGTCCAGATGTGTTGGGAATGATATTGGCTTGATTTCCATTCTGTAATGGCTAAACTTTCATCCTGTACCAATGATGTGTTCAGTCACCATTTACTCCGGGATCTCTCAGCTGAATTACTATTGAATCAGGTGGTCCCTTGCAACAATCTCATCCTGCATGAACTCCTTGTCACATTTCCTGGCATGCCTTGCAGCAAGACTGTATTCCCCACCTATGTTTCAGCCTCCTTGGCCTGGATTCCCCTTGCCCTTTTTATCCACTGCCTTTCTTTTCCTCCCCATCCTATTTTGCCTTATTCTTCCTCTTCCAAAAATGTGGGGCCTCCCTCATCCTCTTTCTCTTCAAGAACTGGTCCTTGGCTGCAGCAGTTAGCCCACATTGGGCCTGCAGAACAGTTTAGTGGATGAGTATTCAAGATCTCCACCAGAGCAGACAAGCCATTGGAATTTACATTTTATTAGGGCCATGACCTGGTTAGGGAAAGTCCTGGTGTAGTGTTGGCTCTTGTTATCACTGAGCTGAGGCTTTGTGGATCCCAAAGTAGAGTTTGAAGCTACCTTTACAGCTGGTAGATCTTAATGACCGGAGTCCATCCATGTAGTGAAAGCATGGGGTAAAATAGCTGAGGTAGTCTTGACTTGAAGAATATAGAATTATCTTGGAAACTTCCTGGAAAGCATTCACAGCTGTGCAGTAAATTGTTCCTGAGGATGCAAACCTTATGCACACTTATTGAATGGTACACCTCCCTGTTCACGAAGCTGACTGAGTTTTCTGTTGGTGCCTTGATGTGTCCAGTCCATAACACTCTAAGTTTGGTGGAATTTAACTTTGGAAATTAACCCAGTAGCCCTCTGCATTTGTGAGGCTACATCTGTTTAGAAGTTGATAAAGTCAGCTCTCTGTAGGACGGCATTTCAACAGTATGGATACCTGACTGGGATATCCCATAAAGGTCAGCAGCAGAACCTTGAAGAAGTCAGCGACCACATTGACTTTCAATGTAACGTGATGTGGAGGTGCCGGTGTTGGACCGGAGTGTATACGGTTAGAAGTCACATGACACCAGGTTATAGTCCAACAGGCTTATTTGAAATCACAAACTTTTGGAACACTGCCCCTTAAGGTGAAGTCACTTCAGCTGACGAAGGGGCTGCACTCCGAAAGCTTGTGATTTCAGATAAAGCTGTTGGACTATAATCTGGTGTTGTGTGACTTCTGACCTTTCAGTGTAACAGGCACAGCATGACAGTTGACCTAGGGACTAGGCCATCATTCACAAAGGAGGTTAGTCGCTTGCTCACAGGAAATCCAAATTCTTCTCCTGTACAGTTGTTTCACGTTTCTAGCAGGGCAGACTATTGCGGTGTAGATGTTCTGGCTATTGCCTGATTCTTCTCTTTGGCGCTAACCACTAAGTCTTTGGCTGTAGCCTAATTCCCGGGAACCTTTCTTCATAGCATTTTATCAGGACCATGACTTGGTCAGTGAATGTCCTGGTGTAGTGCTGGCTCTCATTATCACTGAGCTGAGACTTTGTATATGGATCCCCGAGTACCGTTTGAAGCTACCTTTTCAGAGGCAACTGCTGTTGTTCCTGAATGGGCTGCGCATGTGTATGTCCAGTAGCAGACTTTTTCTTGAATGACAGATGAGTGAAGCTTAGCTGAACAGACTGACGATGGCCCATTGATGGCAGATTTTTGCCCAGATTCTGTGCATTCAAAGACTTCACCCCTACCTCCAGCCTACTCCGGTACAAATTCAGGCCATTTCCCATGATTTTTCCAATTGAGTAAATGCAGAACTTCCTTTACTTTCAAATCCGATGTAACTTTCCTGCACTTGTGAGGGTCCTCCTGTTGTGTTCATGACCTTAATGAGCTGAATCAAACACAATTCCTTGAGATTCCATGCTGTCTGAATCTGCCATCAGCGTAATTGCATTCTTGACTTCAGACCGCATGCTTCTTGATCACAGGACACTCCATTTCTTGTGCTGGTCAATGGCATTGGGACTTGTGCATGTGGTGCTCCCCTGTCAGCTTTCAAAGGGGACAGTACGGTTCATTTCCTTTGTCTTGATACACCACTTGAGGGAAAACATTCCAGATTACAACAGTGATCTATAGGTAAGCAGCTCTAACTTCCTTATCCATTCTTTTTTCAATAACTCCTATTCATTCTGAAGATATTAAAAACATTTTTTTCAATATTCACCTTCTCAAAACTATGTTTCGAAAAGCCGTCTTGATATTTCCTTAATGTTCTCCATTGCCGTAGAAAATTCTCAGTTTTTCAAGCATCTCTTCAAAGCACACATCCTGGTATAATATTCCCACTTACATTCACCCAATCCCATTGAAAATCAATATCACTTCCACAGCTTTGGATTCAGTTTCTGTAAGTATAAAAGTATGAACCAAAATTCTAAATTGCTGGAAAAACCCAGCAGGTCTTATAGCATCTGTGGAGAGAAAGCAGAATTAATGTTTTGGGTCCAGTGACACTTCTTCAGAACATTTTGGGTCCCCGGACCTAAACGTTAACTCTGCTTTCTTTTCACAGATGCTGCCAGACCTGCTGAGTTTTTCTAGCAATTTCTGATTTTGTCTCTGATTTCCAGCATCTGCAGTTCTTTGGGGTTTTATTTTTAAATAAATGTATGGTGTCCACATGTTTTTATGACCATTTTTTCCTGTAGTTTTCGCTTTGTAATTTCATTATTTATACCTCAAGAACTCTCTTCACCTCCATTACATTAGAAACCATACTTTTATAGATTTTTATTTACTTTCTTGTTTTTCCAAAATGTGTTATTTCCTTTATTTATTTGCTTTTATGTCCACTTGGTTTAAAAAAAAGTGTGTACTCTTGTGCATATTCTCAAGACAAGCTGCTTTTTGTTCTGAAGAGGAGTCCTACTGGACTCAGAAGTGCTTCGAGAGGCTGGTCATGGCCCACATCAACTCCAGTTTGCCAGCCTGCCTCGCTCCCCTTCAATTTACTTACTGATGTAACATGTCTACAGTGCATGCCTTATCCCTAGCCCTGAACTCATGCCTGGAACATCTGGACAACAAGGACACCTACATCAGACTACAGCTCTGCCTTCAACACCATTATCCCTTCCAGACTGATCTCAAAACTCTGACCTTGGTCTCGGCTCGTCTTTCTGCAACTGGATCCACAGCTTTCTGACCCATAGATCGCAATCAGTGAAGATAGGTAACCGCACCTCCTCCACAATAACACTCAACACTGGAGCCCCCCCAAGTATGCGTCCTCAGTTCCCTACTGTATTCCTTGTATACCAATGACTGTGTTGCCAAATTCTGAACGAACGCCATCTACAAGTTCGCTGATGACACCACTGTAGTGGATTGGATATCTGACAAAGAAGAGTCAAAAGAAGTTCTGAGGAAGGGCCACTTGACCCAAAACGTTAACTCTGATTTCTCTCCACAGATGCTGCCAGACCTGCTCAGCTTATCCAGCAATTTCTGTTCTTGTCTTGGAAAAATTCATGTTTAATTCCAATGTCCATTCTTCTGCTATTTTCACCTGGTCCATTTCTGACTCTTCCCTTCCCTTCCTTGACTACACTGTTTCCATTTCTGGGTATGGGCTATCCACCAATATCTACTACAAACTCACTGACTCCCATTTATGTCAACTACACTTCCCAGATCCTGTTTCCTGCAAGGATTTCATTCCATTTTCTCAATTTCTCCATCTCCTCCACATCTGTCCTGATGATGCCACCTTCCACCATGGTTGATAGGATCCTCAACTGTATCTGACCCATCTCTTAGTTCTGCTTTCACCCCTTCCCTTCCCTTCCCTTGCCAAACAACAACAGCGTTTCCCATGTCCTCACTTTCCACCTCTCCATTCCACCACACGTTCAAAGAGTCACTTTCTATCATTTCTGCCACCTGCAAGATACCATAACCGACCACACATTTTCCCCTCTCCTCTACTGTCAGCATTCTGCAGGAACCCTTCCCTCTCTGATAACGTCGTCCGCTATTCCATTGCTCTGAACACTTCCTCACTGTATTATGGCACCATCTCATGCAGTTGTAGAAGATGGCCACTACACCTCCTACCAACTCCAAGGCCTGAAACACATCATCCAGGTGAAGCAGTGTTTTATTTGTCCTACTTTCAGTGTGGTCTTATGCAGTTCTGAGGAAGGGTCACTTGACCGGAAATGTTAACTCTATTTCTCTCCACAGATGCTGCCAGATTTGCTGAGCTTTTCCAGCAATTTCTGTCTTTGCTTCTGTATTTGCTGCTCCCAGTCTCTTTTACAATGGTGAGACCAAATACAGATTGGGTGACCACTTTGCGGAAAATCTCCACTCTGTCTGTAGGAATGACCATGACTTTCCAGTTGTTTACCACCTCAATAAACTACTTTGTCTCTAATATTTCTGTTCTTGGCCTGCTACTGTGTTCCAATGAAGCTCAACACAATCTAGAGGAACAACAACTCATTTTTCACTTAGATAACAAGGTGTAGAGCTGGATGAACACAGCAGACCAAGCAGGAAAGCTGACGTTTCGGGTCTGGACCCTTCTTCAGAAAAAAGCTTTCCTGCTCCTCTGATGCTGCTTGGCCTGCTGTGTTCATCCAGCTCTACACCTAGTTATCTCAGATTCTCCAGCATCGGCAGTTCCCACTATCTCTGAATCACTTTTCACTTAGGCACTTTACAGCTTCTAGGACACAATATTGAGTTCCACAACTTCAGCAAATGACCTTTGAACTCCATTTTTCTTACATCTTCTCCACCCCCCTCCCCCCACAAGCTGGACTTTATTTGTGTCTTGTTGGATTTGCTCTGAACAGAGCAGACTCATTTTTTTCTCCTCACAGCTAAAATTTTCTCTTATTTTATATAACTGTCACTCCTTTACAATCATTATTTTTTGGTCTGGACACCCTCACAATCTGTTTCACTTCCTGTCCTTGAAACCCCACCATTTTCAAACTCCTTTCAGTTCCAAAGAAGTGTAATATTAGACTCAAAACATTAACTCAGTTTCTTTCTCTGCAGAAGCTGCTTGATTTGCTGAGTTTCTCCAGCACTTAGTTTTTATTTCAGGTTTCCAGCATTGTAGTATTTTGCTTTTATCTTCAGACAAATGTTTGTTACAGAAATGTTAACGCTATTATCTTTTATTTCCACATCAGTCTATGTCCTTCGATGCTCATAGTCTGACTGTTCCCATTATCAGTTGGTTGGGTCTACTTCCATCTGATATTCAAAGGTTAGTAGTGGGATTAAAATGCAGATCTATTTGTTTTAGTGCAGTATCCGGTATTCTTATTAAGATGATACAGGTATTTGGTTTTTAGAGCTTTTTTAGTAATGTGTTATTTCCTTTTCAAGAGAAACTTAGCCTCATCTCTGTTAGAATAATGATCTTACTCCTGGATGTTGATTTGTCAGAATCTTTGTGGAATGGTATGATGTAGTTATTTTTACAAAAAACAAAAACTGAGTTCTTCACTTCAGCAGCAACAAAGTTATGTGGCAATTACATTAATGTTATTTATTAACATCAGCATTAGCAAGCCGAATACTGTCACCAGATAAAACATGCATCTTTCTTACATGGTGCAATTAATGGAGAAATACGTGGGGCTGAATTTTGCTGTCAAGTCTTCTATCCCTGACTGTCAGAAACTCTCCTTGTTCATGTACTCTTATTGTTAATCTCCAAGGACAACATGCTCAAACTTAAAAAAAAAAGGAAGGAAACTAACAACAAGAGTACATGAACACCAACTGGCTACAAAAAGACACGACCAATACTCACTCATCTCAATCCACATGGACAAGAAGATCCACGACTTCGTCTGGGACAACACCAAGATCCTGGGACAGGCTAGGCAGAGACAAGCACGAGAATTCCTGGAAGCATGGCACTCCACGAAGCATGCTATTAATAAACACATTGAACTCGACCCCATATACATTCCACTACGAAGGAAAACCGGAAGTGAGGCAATCCATCTCAACGGACCCCAGAGTTTAAAAACCAGGCGGGAAAACACACCGACGCTTCATCGGAGGCTGCACTGAGGATGTTACCAAGCATGGTAACGAAACGTCTGCGAAACAACAAGCCAGCTCAGTGAGCTAACCAGCCTCATCACTTTATATTTAAAACTGTTACGTCCAGTAGCTCTCACCTTTCACGCCTCCTCATCTAGTTTTTGTGCCCTTTATTCCGACTAACCCACTATGCACTATGTACAGGTAATGAGCTGTACAATAACAATGGTATGATTGAAATCCTTGTGGAAAAAAAACTTCATTTAGAACTCTATTTAAAAATGTCTGCGATACTGACAATCTTATAAAAATGCAATGAGACAGTGCCATTTATACTAACAAGAATAGAAACTTTACCCCACTTCACATTCCTTAATATTGTCCAAATAACCATACATTGAAAAAAAATCAAGGAAAGGATATCTCACTTTGAATTCATAAAGATGTCAATGAATCAAAGCTAACCCTCTGCCTCAAACTGAAAACGGACCTCTTTTGAACTTGCCCATTAGTGAGATTTGGAGCACAGCCAAGCCTTCATATTGAAGTCACCTAGTAATTTTTATCAACAAAAATAGATGACCAAGCATCCGTTTCTCTGAATGACCTCATTATTATGAATATGTGGCTGAAACTCAAGACTCTCAAATTGATTAGCTCAGCAGGAGTCTATTTAGAACTTGGGGGTGCGGGGTTAATTTTGATTGAATGATATCATTATGAGGTTGTAATAAGTTATGCTTTGTTTGATGTGTTTTATCAATGTCTCTTTATTTGAAGACTAAAAGATAGTATGCACTTAATGGTAGGGTCCTGGGGAGTGTTGCTGAACAAAGAAACCTTGGTGTGCAGGGACATAGTTCCTTGAAGGTAGAGTCACAGTTAGACAGGATAATGAAGAAGGCATTTGGTACGCTTGCTTCTGTTGGCAACTGCATTGAGTATAGGAGTTAGGACGTCATGTCGTGGCTGTACAGGACATTAGTTAGGCTACTTTTGGAATACTGCATTCAGTTCTGGTTTCCCTGCTATAGGAAAGATGTTGTTAAACTTCAAAGGTTGCTGAACAGATTTACAAGGATGTTGCCATGGTTAGAGGCTTGAGCTGTAAGGAGAGGCTAAATAGGATGAAACTACTTTTCCTGAAGCGTCAGAGGCTGAGGGGTGACCTCATAGAGGTTTATAAATTCATGAGGGGCATGGATAGTGTGAATAGCCAAGGTCTTTTCCTCAGAGTAGGGGAGTCCAAAGCTACAGGGTTAAGGTGAGAGGGGAAAGATTTGAAAGGGAATTGAGGGGCAACTTTTTCACAGAGGGTGATGCATTTATGGAATGAACTGCCAGAGGATATGGTGGAGGCTGGTACAATTACATTATTTAAAAGGCATCTGGATGGGTATATGAATAGGAAGAGTTTAGAGAGATATAGGCCAAATGTTGGCAAATGGGACTAGATTAATTTAGGATATCTGGTTGCCATGGTCGAGTTGGACTGAAGAGTCTATTTCCATGCTGTACAGCTCTATGCCTCTATGACCGCCTTTTTCCCAACTGACTCACCATTTTCATGTTATCCAGGGGCTGGGAAAATTCAGCCAGATTAGGTTGCTGCAGCTAATTGATTTTGCCAAACTCGCCAAAATTACCATGGCCGTTCACAAGAGGCTTATTACTGTTGATGAACAAATGAAGGAAAAAAATGATCGATGTGGAAAACCACTTTTGTTCATGGAAGACCAGCTTGCTAAGTGGTTTGACCCTCTCAAAACTCCATATAAGTCTGTTTGCGCTGCTTCTGAAATTTGACTAGAAGTATCCAAGAAACCTTACTATTTTCAATTATTATGTTCCCACTTCCAAGTATACTTGTTCATCTAGCAATTCAATTTCATATGTAAACACTCAAATATTTGTTGTGACTGAGTTAGAAAGGGTGAACTAATCCCTTTCCATGATCCATTCCTCCACAGGTCATTGCGAAGTTTGAATTTAAAAAAGGAAATGATAAATTCCAAATTTAAGTAAATATTTATATATAGTAAATCAAACTGTATATAGTTTAGTATAATAAACATATCAACCAGGCTCCTTTAGAAACAAATAAAGAACTAGTTTATTGGAGACAAAGCTGATTGAAGCTGATTTTAAACTGTTTGAACTACACAACTACCTTCCTTGAAAAAAAAACATACCAAGGCAACACATGCACACGCACTGTCTCACACACACACACAACCTTCAAGTCTAGGGAGAAAAAGTACTTTAAATAAGAAATCATTAAATTCAGAGAAATGAATTATTCATAGATTGTCCAATGTTGGTCTGCAGCTGATGTCACTTTGTACGCACTCACTGGGCTTTCTCCCTGGATCAGGTATGGCTGGCTGATATCTTTTTATCTGAAGACATTAGAGTTGATTTGGAATTCTTCCTTCAAAACTCTTCACTTGCAGTTACTCATCATGTCTAGTGAATTTTGCAACTCTTACAATTTGGTGAGAGGGATTTCGGAGAGATGGAGGCAAAGTGCAAATGTTGTTGTTTAGGCAAGGTATCTCTCTCACTATCTGCGTTCACATCCAATGTATTTTTTAACTCGCTGTCCCTGAAGGAATTGTAGAGGCAATGACTCCAATTGTGCAGTCTCTGCCCTTTGAAAACATAAAATTTTCCGACCCGTTTCTCTTGCTTTGTAAAGTGTTTTTCCCAAAATGCCCAAGGTATAGATATATGTCCAGTCAATGATTTTCTAAATGGATAGTTCAGATAGCATCTTAATAACAACATAAAAAGCAATTTAAAAGTAGGTGTTGCTAACAGATCGAACTTCCTTAATCACTGATAGAATACACTTGATCACAGACACTCATTCATTTTGTACACACTGAACAAATGGTCATGTTTGTCATCTTAATAAATAATGGGCAGCACGGTTGGCTCAGTGGTTACTACGCTGCCTCACCGCATCGGGGACCCGGGGTCAATTCCAGTCTTGGGCTCCTGTCTGTGTGAAGTTTGTGTGTTCTCCCTTTGTCTGCATGGGTTTCTGCTCGGTGTTTCAGTTTTCTCCCACAGTCCAAAGATGGGCAGGTCAGGTGGATTGGCCATGCTAAATTACCCATTGTGTTCAGGGATATGTAGGTTAGGTGTGTTAGCCATGGGAAATGCAGAGTTACAGGGATAGGTAAGGAATGGATCCTCTTTGGGAGCGTCAGTGTGGACTTGTTGGGCCAAATGGCCTGATTCCACACTCTGGGGATTCTATTAAAAAAATGTTTTGCATCCAATATCAGTTCCCATAATAATCAAACGTAACTAGTGACATCCTATGTTTGCCAGCCTAATCTTTTATTTTTTATATTACAAGCACTGTTTAGATTAGAAACTAAATGTCAGTCAAATGTGCTTTCTTTGTATATGTTGTCTCCAGATTAAATATACCGAAAGAAGCTTTAATTCCTCTTACTAACAATGACGTGAGAAAGTTGAGCATGCTGCAAAAGAGACCCTATGTTAACTGGCAACCCCTCTGGAAGAAAGAGGTAAGGTAAAACTATGATTAATTAGTTTCTTATCTAGTAATACATCACCAGTAATTTTGCTGATAATACAAAATAACAAAGCGTGGTCAGGCTGTACAAAGAAATAAGTGGATCACGACCATAAGATGTCGGAGCAGAAGTACGCCGTTCAGCCTGTCGGCTCTGCTGAACCATTCCTGGCTAATAATCCTCAGTTTCACTTTTCTGCCTTTCCCCACGATGTAGGAATAGGAGTAAGCTATTCAGCCCCACAAGCCTGTTCAGCCATTCAGTGAGATCATGGCTGATCTGTGGCCTAGCTGCATATACCTGACTTTGCTCCATATTCCTTAATACCTTTGCTTTAATAAAAAATAGGCTGTCTCAAATTTAAAATTCACAACTGATCTAACATTCCCTACTGTTTGTGGAAGAGAGTTCCAAACATATATCACCCTGTGTGTGCAGAATGATTCCTAACATTTATCCTGAACAGTCTCATCCTTATGCCCCCTAGTTCAAGAATGCCCAAGCAGTGGAAATAGTTTATCTTTATCTATCCTGTCTTTTCCTGTTAATATTCTTGAAGACTTTGATCAGATCACTCCTTAACCTTCTAAATTCTAGAGAAAACAGGCTTAATTTGTATAACCTCTCCTCATATCTTAACCCTGTAGTCCAGGTATCATTGTTGTAAACCTATATTGTACTTCCTGCAAGGGCAATATATTTCCCGAAGTTGTAGTGCCAAGTTCTTCTCTCAGTACATCAAGTGGGGTCTAACTAGGATTTTGTATAACTGCAGCATAACTTCTGTGTCCTTGTATTCCATTCCTTTAGATATAAAGGCGAGTATTCCATTATCTTTCTTGATGATTTTTCTACACCTGTTTATGGCGTATATGGTGTATTTTAAAGATCCTTGCACCCGAACCCTCAGATCATTTTGGAGTTCTGAGAAAGGGTCACCGGACCTAAAACATTAACTTTTTTTTCCTTCACAGATGCTGCCAGACCTGCTGAGCTTTTCCAGCAACTTCTGTTTTTGTTCCTGATTTACAGCATCTGCAGTTCTTGCAGTTTTCACTTTGGACATTTGTTGTACTTAGCCCTGGATTCCCTTACTGATGAAAAATTTAACCTCTCCGCATCTAATCTGTGAAGACCTCTAAGAATCTTGTATGTTTCAATAAGGTTGCCTCTCATTCTTCTATATTCCAAAGAATACTGGCCCAATCTATTCAACCTATCCTGTAAGACAGTCTCTCCATACGTTGTATCAGCCGAGTGAACCTTCTCTGGACTGCTTCCGATGCCATTATACCTTTCCTTAGGTGAGGAAAAACTGTTAACAGTATTCCAGCTGTGGTCTGACTGGTGCCTTGTATAGTTTTAGCAAAACCTCCCTTCTTTTTCCATTTGAAGTAAAGGCCAATATTTAATCTCCCTTCCCCATTACCCACTGAATTTGGATACTAGCTTTTTGTGATTCATAGACAAAGACTCCCAAATCCTTCTGTTCCATAGCTTTCTGCAGTCTTCCTCTATTTAAATAATATTCAGCTCCTCTATTCTTCCTGCCAAAAGCATAACTTCAGTTTCCCTACATAATATTCCATCTGCCAAGGTTTTGTCCACTGTCTTAACTTGACTGTATCCCTCTGCAGATATGGTAAATAAAATTGTTGTCTCAGCACCGACCCCTGTGACAAGCGTTATATAGAACAAAACTGCACGTAAAAAATGATAACTCTGTAATTATACACTAAGGCAAACATTAATTAAAATACTTGTGTATTTATATACACTGTAAAGAGCAGTTTTATTCAGTCATGCTAAATGGCACTTGCCATTATCAATATTGAAATAAAAGCAAGTTCTGGGGCTGACCTCACAAGTATGTGGATCTGTGGGCAGCAAATCTGTATTATTGCCAAAAGCATCTAGTATTCACAAAGTCAGTTATTCCAAGCTCGGTGGTAAAGTAGCATCATGTCATTCGGATATGTCATTGCATTCTGTTATTGTTATGAATTACAGCATGTTACAAATGTGTGAATTGCTACAGCAAACACGGCGATATAAAAATCCACAAACCCGAAAGCCCTGGCTGACCCATTGTCTCTGTCTGCTCCTGCCCCACTGTACTTACCTCCGCTTACCTTGACTGAGTTCCCCGGTCCAGGAACTCCCCACCTATGTCCGGGACACTACCCATGCCCTTCACCTCCTCCAAGACTTCCAATTCCCTGGCCCCAACATCTCATCTTCACTATGGATGTCCCCCGCACAGATGGCCTAAAAGCCCTATGCTTCTTCCTCTCCCACAGGCCCAACCAGTCCCCCTCCACTGACATCCTCATCTGCTTAACTGAACTCGTCCTTACCCTTAACAACTTCTCCTTCAACTCCTTCCACTTCCTACAGACTGAGGGGGTAGCCATGGGTACCTGCATGGGCCCAAGCGATGCCTGCCTCTTCGTAGGATACGTGGAACAGTCCCTGTTCTGCAGCTACACTGGCACTATCCCCTACCTCGTCCTCCACCAACTCGTGCTCCCACAAGGGGCTCAAACAGTTCATCAACTTTACTAACACCTTCCGCCCCAACCTCAAGTTCACCTGGACCATCTCTGATCCTTCTCTCTCCTTCCTGGATCTCTCTGTCTCCATCTCTGGTGACCACCTCGAAATTGATATCTATTTCAAGCCCACTGACTCCCACAGCTACCCTAGACTACATCTCCTGTCACACACCTTCCTGCAAAAATGCGATCCCCTACTCCCAATTCCTCCACCTTTTGCCATGTCTGCTCCCAAGAAGGGGCATTCTACTCCCGAACATCCCAGATGTCCTCTCATTTCAAGGACTGCAACTTCCCCCCTTCAGTGGTCAAAAATGCTCTTGACGGCATCTCTTGCATTTCCCATACCTCTGCCCTCACATCCCCTCCCCCCAACAAAAACAAAGACAGAATCCCCCTTGTCCTCACATATCACCCCACTAATGTCTGGATTGAACGTATCATTCTCTGCCACTTCTGCCACCTGCAATCTGACCCCACAACGAAGGATATATTTCCCTCCCCACCCCCACCTGCCTTCCGGAGGGACCACTCTCTCTGAAACTCCCTCGTCCGTTCCACACTCCCCACTAGCTCCACCACCCCTGGCACGTTTCCCGCAACCACAGGAAGTGCTGTACCCGCCCCTACATCTCTCCCTCACCTCCATCGAAGAAACCAAAAAACCTTTCCACATCAGACAGAGGTTCACCTGCACATCCGCTAACGTGATCTATTCCATCCGCTGCTCCAAATGTGGCCTCCTCTACATCGGTGAGACTAAGTGGAGGCTCGGAGACCACTTTGTAGACCATCTCCGCTCGGTTCGCGACAAACGACAACACCTCCCAGTCGTGAACCGCTTCAACTCCCCCTCTCACTCCCTGGATGACATGTCCATCCTAGGCCTCCTCCAGTGTCACAATGACGCCACCCAGAAACTGGCAGAGCAGCACCTCATGTTCCATCTTGGGAGCTTACAACCCAATGGTCTTAATGTGGACTTTACCAGTTTCAAAATCTCCCCAGCCCCGTCTCCTCCCATGTCTAACCCTCCCTCTCATCCCCACCTCCTTGACCTGACACAACCTGTCCGTCTTCTCTCCCACCTATTGCTCTTCCCACCTCACTGACTGATCCCCACCACTGCCTACCTGCATGCACTCACCTATCACCATCCCACCTACCTTCCCCAGCTCCACCCCTCTCTCTCTTTATTTCAGAGCTCACCCATCCCCCATTTCTGAAGAAGGGTCCCGACCTGAAACGTCAGTTTTTCTGCTCCTCTGATGCTGCCTGGCTTGCTGTGTTCCTCCAGCTGCACACTGTGTTTCCTACTCCGGCATCGGTAGTTCTTACTATCTCTGATATAAATCCTTTATTCTTTTCAGATGGAAATTATGGAGAAGTGTAAAGTGAAGGCTGAAATACAGGCCCTGGAATCTATTTCTTCTGACTACCTCACAAGAGTATACTTGCCAAACAAACTCAAGTTTGGTGGATGGATATAAGAAAATTGTCCGTGTTATTTGAAGTGATGTATTCATACATTTGACTGTATTCAAGTGAATTATATTTCTGATTTGAGCTGACGTGCCAGCTGTTCAGCCTTCATGTTGTTTGATGTAACAGCAATTGATTATTAGTTGACATGGTGCCGAAATGTTGTCATCTCTGGCTGAGTTGGTTTGTCAGATGTTTAGCACATTTGTTGCTGAAGTTGCTGGTTTATTTGATATTCCATTCCAGTTATTCAGCCTTTTGTTTGGTGGCTGTCTTGGTTAAGTTGATACGTTGGCCAGATATATCTGTTCACTTGGTGAGTAAGTTGAAATTATACCTGTTCAGTTGATGAACCTGCTGTAAACTTTCTGGCTGAGTTGATGCACCAGTTATTGAGTAGTGTGGTTGGCTTCTCTATTTGCTGTTACCGTTATGGTCGACTGTGCTGAAATTAGTAACATATTCCATGGAATACATTAAGATTCACAAACACTGAAACAGTTGTAATTCATTATCAAATATTTACACTTTCACATTTGTGACTAAGTTCCGAAATAAATAGGATAATTGCTTTACATAAAGGACAGTATTCAGTCATTGCTTAAGGACTCAGATTATGTTGTGAATTATGATGACAACGCCGCAATGGTTCCTAATGATAAGAAAATGAAAAGATTAGGTGGAGGGGATGTGTCCGATAGCCATGTCCTCACCCTGACATGGAAACAATCCTTGCCTTTGTAGAAAAGGACCAGGACCTGTCCTGTGGGGCGCAAAGTCAAGGATGTCCTGGCAACTGACTAAATCTCACTTGTTCTTGCACTGAAACACTGGCATTAAACAGACAGTGTCATGCATTGGGCACCACTTGTAACCTGCAGCCATGATGCTTTCTGCCTCTTGTGCCTTACAGGTACATCTGCAGAGAACCACTCATTCCTCCCAGGAGTGATATCCTCAATCTCTGTGGATCAGTATCGAGGACCCAAAGGAAACACCAACAAGGCTATTTCCTAGATCCGCCACCAGCTCTGATATTCCAGTGGAGTCAAGGTGAGTGGAGTGTGGGATCGGAGGGTGCTGACGATAGGCAAGGAGGAAATGCCTCAGGTGTCTGATACTCAGAGCAGTGCCAGAGACAATGTAGCACTAGGAGACATCAGCTGCTGGCAGGGAAGGATCCTGTAGTCTCAGCAATCATAGAAGTTTGTGTAAAATACAAAAGGTGAAGCAGCAGTGGCAGATAGGTATATGGGATACATTATCCCTCACCACTAAAAAGCTGGAGCAATGCAGCCAGTCCTGTGACCTCACATCTGCCTCTATGGACAGGTTGGTAGCTGACATCGAGAGACATGCCCAGCATCCTCAGAGGGTGCTGGACAGTAGCGTACACCTGCACTCCATCACCCCAGATATTTGTCCCAGGACGGAAGGCATGTCAGAGTGTGGGGAGGTAGGGGTGTGTACCTTGACTCTATTCCATGAGCCCTGTTTTTACAAAGACACAAGGAAGTGCCAGGAGACATCCACCTTGAGGTGGAACTGTACACACGTTTCTTAGCAATTATCACTCAGTACACTGCACAAGTAACCTGGCTCTCCACAACCATCCTGCCTGCCCCTCCAGCCCCTGGAAGTTCAGACCACAAATGCCGAACATGCCTTTGACAAGAAGGCCCCCGGCATGTCTGTCACATCCAGATCCGTGTTCCCTGGGGTTCCCCTCCTGTACCTGGTTGGAGGTCATTGGTCCTGGCCCCTTCAACCCCATGTTTGGAACTGGATACCTCAGTGATATCCAGCAGGAGGGAGAGGAGAAGGAAGGTATACTGAAGGGCCACAGCTGACAGTTATGTACATAGTTTGTTTTGTATGTAAATGTTTGTTTTTATGTTCATGTGGTTGTCCCTGGCTCTGTGTTAGACCTAGACACTTCATTATGCGCTGCAGCATCACTGCCTCAGCAGTAGTGAGGTGCTATAGTTGGGCTCTATAGTGAGCAGCAGTAGCAAAGTGTGTAGCCATGATCTTATTGAATGGCAGAGCAGGCTGAAAGGGCTAAATGGCCTACTCCTTCTGGTTCTTATGTACATGTCCTTGTCTCACCCAACACCTTAGGCCTCCCTTTCAATATTGCCTATTATCCACCTAGCTGTGTGCTCAGGTGTATATATATATCAGGCAATTCCCTGGCAGTGATGTTAAAAGGGTGGCGCAGTACAGAGAGAAGGCCAGTGCTGCAGGTTTACCAGGGAGTAGGCACCCTACATGTTTGTGTCATGGCTGACGTGTTCACCTGTAATTGGTTGCAGATGCAGCCCACCCCCTCACATATCAGTTCACTTAACCTGCACATTTCAAGGGCTTTCCTGGCCGTTCTCATAAACATTGTGCACTTTCCATTTCCTTCATGGCTGCTACAACAGCAGGCTGTCCTCTGCATTGGCTTCCAGCCTCAGTATTAACATGCCACTGAGGCACCGAGCATAAATCTCTCCTTGCTAACTGCCTTCCACGAACCCCACAGCCTTCACACTTCCCCAGTTGATTCCCCAAGTCATGTGTATGCGTTACACCCACATACCTGCTCCCCTTGCCTCGTAGTTTCTGTGAATGGAGGCATTGGAGTGACTGTGGCCCATCCCCTTGAATGAGCTGACCTGCACGAGCCAGCCCACACCCCTGACTGATGAACACACCGGCCTGCTGTGGTCATTCTAAATTAAACAGCAGCCAGCAGCTATTGGCTACAGAGAACAGCAGAAACCAAGATCAAAGAGGTCACAAAAGTTTGGGGGAATCAGTTGCAACCAGCCCAGGGGTTGTGTATTGGAGGAGTTTTGATCAGACTTCCAGGCACCTTGACTTCCAGCCAGTGCCTGAGGACATGCACTTTACACCCCCGTGACATGGCAACGGTGTGGGTTGTTGGCATGTACCCAGTGGATGCTTTTACCTGGTTCATGACCCCATCGGACAAAACCCACGAACATTTAGAAAGGTCTGGTTCAAGGAAAATAAAAACACACCTGGATGCCACCCCCTCACTGAAGACACGACCTGGCCTGCAGTGGAGCTCTGACCACCTGGAGAGAGAGAGTGCGCCCTGACCCCCTGCGAGACCCACCTTCATAGAAGAGAGCCAGCCCTATGTCAGAAAAAGAGATTTCCCTGGCCCAGCTCAAACATGCAGATTGCTACAAGTGGTATCCTTTTTAAGATGGATTGAGCTAGATAAAGAATAAATACTGTGGGAATTTGGGAAATGCTCATTTGGTGTTTTTAATAAAGAATACTGTGTTAGTAAGTTGGAGTTGCGCCATAAACTGAATTCTGTTTGTCTGCCTCACCAACAAGAGCATTTGGGTAAAATGTTTTTAATACATAAATGGGTCAAAGTGTCTAAAGCACAGACAACACTGCAAATGTGACAGATCTCCCTTTTCCCCCAGAACATCCCCTATAGAAACAAAGGACTGACTGTGACATGCTCCCTGGAGCATAGATGCGAAGATCTCCTGTGCAAAGCCACCCTGATCGGATGCCTGAACATGTCAGAAGCCTTGCTTTGGTATGGAAAGCTGCACTAACTGTGCTTTCAAACATGCCTGACTGCTTGCTGCACATGCTGTGTGTTTGGCGTAAATCCTGCTGCCACATGGTACAGCTGCTACACTGACGTACAACAAAATGCGCACACCAAGGCCTGAGGCCAACTGTCTGGTTGTGTGACTGCTCATTTGCCACTGCAGTGCTGTGGTCATGCTGGTAGGCACTAGGTGTAAGCAGACTGAGACAGCAAGGCTGCAGCTCTGGTCAGTCTGATCATGCCATGGACTGGGTGCTTGTCCCTGTGCTTGTAACTTTACCAAGTGCAGCTGTACACTTCTAGTTACTGGTGTGTCCTGTTTATAGACAAATCCATCTTGCAGGCTGCAATGTCAGTGCATTGGATTGATGCCATTCAGTGGCAATGGCTCCCTGGATGTCAGTGTCTGTGGTGAAAGGGTACATGCAGCAGGTGCTTATGGATCATGCCAAGCTGTACAGTTTGGCCATGGAGGAGGTGGTGATCTGAACCTGCCAAACACACACTCTGGTTTCAACGTTGGATTTTACTTTTGGCACGTTTGATAAGATCACAATTTAGAAGGGTCCAGACGCGAAACGTCAGCTTTCCTGCTCCTCTGATGCTGCTTGGCCTGCTGTGTTCATCCAGCTCTACACCTCATTATCTCAGATTCTTCAGCATCTGCAGTTCCTACTATCTCTAATATTAACGAGATGTGTTGGGCTGGCAACAAGGGCGTTAATGAGCAATAATCTCTGAGAATTAGCAATTTGCCACAGCGGAGGAGAATATCATTATACCAGTTGTAAAAAGAGTAAACAATGGGGGCAAGACGATCTCAACATAAAGATGCACCTCACCAGACTTCTGTCCTAATTGTGCCATACAGCTGACCAGGGCCCATGTCACTTGTACCCCTATAATCCACCAGAGTTTATAATAAGAGAAAGGGGCTTAAAGAATGGAGAGGCCTGGGGAAGTGTATTGGTAAAGTTGGAAAAATCTTATTTATACAGGATGGGAATCAGACACGTTTGGTGCAGTCTTCAAGATTGTGTGGTCTGGGGAACAACTTTGTAGGCTCTGAAAGAGTGATAGAAAATAATGATGAACCAGGTACATCTCATTTCCAAATGTTGCACAGCTATGAGAATCGAGCTGCCACAATTAACAGTTTGTCTGATGATGGACAGATCAGTTCTAACTGTCAGATTCTGAGTTCAAGAATCAAAAGTGGATACTAAACCAAATGTTTATTTGTGGGGTTAGTCATTGGAGAAGTGCAGCTCATGAGTACAACGTGGAAGGATATAAAAGCTGGATGAATGTACAGAGTGAGGGGTAGGAGGGTAGACCCATGGATTGGGAACATGAAGTACAAAGATGGAATGCAAGAAAATGCAGTGGAGGCTCAAATAGTGGGTTTGGGAGCAAACAAGACCCTAAACGTTGAAAGGAATCCTTTTATTCATATGGGGAAGTCAAACAGTAGCAGTCCAGAAAGAGAGAGAAAGCAAAATAGAGGGCATATTTTAACAAGGTCAAGAAACATAACACAAACTGGGAATACCACCAGGAGCAGAACCTATGTGATCAGGAAGTCTTAGTGGACATGAACAATCTAGAAGACAAGTTAATAATAGATATCAAATAGCAAGAACTACAATGCTGGAGAGAATTTAGGGTATACACAGAGGTGTCAGATATAGATTCATACGGCGCAGCAAAAGCCCTTCAACCCATCGAGTGCACCAACATAACAATCACTAAAGGAGTGCTCAACCCAATTTCCTGCACTTGTCCCTTATCCTTCAAAGTTATGGTATTTGAAGTACTCATCCAAATTGTAAGGTTTCCAGCCTCCACTACCTTCCCAAGCCAGATTCCCACAACCTGTTGAGTGAAAAAGTTTTTTTCCCCCCAAATCCCTTCTGAATCTAGATGTTGGTGTGTTCACCAAGCTGGGAGGTTTGATAGCAGATGTTTCATCCCCTTACGAGG